ATAGGACAATAAAATTCATATGTGTGTATTGTAATTTATTCTTCAATATAAAATGCAGGAATATTAAAAACAGAGCAGTTTCTTTCACTTTCCTGCAATGCACACTACTTGGTTTTAATGTAATATACGATGCCAGTCACATAGGATCCATTTCACAGTTTCCAGGTTATTTACATTGGAAATAATCGCTTGTAGATATAACCATACAAATATTTACACCAGGTTTGTTAAGGTTTTGAAGATGTAACAATCGTATTAAAAAACATTGAAGGGCGTTTGAATTTCACGAACACTTTTTCAGGAGGATTAATTCATTCTATTTGATATATCGCCATGATTCACAGAGACATTTCTGACCGAATCAGGCAATCGCTATGTCTGGAAGACAAAGAGGCGCGATGGTGATAAATGCAGCAATGATGCCTACAGCCCACAGAACATTTTCTCCCCTCCAGCTTAGCCTCCCTTGTCTAACCGAAAATGGACTTTGTAGTAATGCGTGCCAGAGAGAAATGTCCCCGTCACCACTTGAAGCCTCATTTTTACAAAAAGCGGGCTCTCTTCCTCGACGGTCTGTGGTTTGAGAGTGGTTCTACTTTAGTGTCCAAGTGAACGTGTTTACTCATCAGTCTCCCTGTCTCCGAGAAGCGAGTCACAAGTGTTTTGGGGGCGGCCTGGGGTCAAGAGGTTAGAGATTATCCATGCCGCAAACGCAGCAGAGACACACTCGTGCAGGCGCCACGTCCCGTTTGTTCTCTCCCGCACCGGGAGCCATTGCGCCAGATTTCAGATGAGCACACGCAGCAAGGCATGTGCTTGGCAGCACATGCCGCACATACACGAAGCCACTCTCCTTTTATGTGCTTATGGAGCTGTTTGGTTACAGCTTTTGTTGATCAATGAACATAATGTAATTTGATATTTTGTATCGAAGGATTAACAGTAAAAGAAGTGGCAAAGGAAAATAATGTTTCATTTCAGTACTGCACATTCTTTGTTGTTGCAAAAAGACGTTGAGGTTATTTTTTTTTTTGGGGAGGGTTTGCTTTTTGTACGTCGTAATCAAAAAGCTTTTGCCTGTCTTCATAATTGAAAATGACAAATTAGAAATAAAATATGAAATGCTGTAAAGATAAAACGAAACAAGCAAAGTCTACATGGACCCATTTTGGAGGACACCCAAAATTATTGATATTCTAATGCAGTCAAGAAGATTATCCGCACTCCCGGGAGAAACCTCATGTGAAATGCAGTCTGCTTGAAAGCTTTCATCCTCGTGGTCTCCAACCCCCCCCCCCTTCCCCTTTTCCTCTCCCGGCCTCTCTGTAATTTCGCACGAGGGGCCGAATGGATCACGCGTTTGGCAATTGTGCCCCTGCAGACCACGATCTGATTCTTTCATGACTCTCCAGGGGGGAGGGAATGCTAACAAAATAAACTGTCAAAGAAATGTTTGCTGTTCTAGTTGCTGGTATCAGTAAAAACTATAGAAAATATTTTTCATATGAGTCAGCCTTTGCATTTAGGGCACACCAATGTACACATCTTTTGCATTGGAGAAAAAGAAACGTTCCAAACATTTAAGGTGAATTATGACCTCCCTTTATTTATTGGGCCAGGTTAGCATTTTTTCCTACTCTTCAAAACATTTATTGTAGAGTCTATACCATTTCTCTCTGCAATATTGTTTTATTTTGCATGATATTGATTTTAGTCATTTAAAAAAAAATCAAGAGACAGGCTTTTTTGGTCAGCCCAGCTCAGCAGTGCATACAGTGCCAGCAAAATACTTATTACAAGTTAAAAATATCAGTCCTTGGGAAACAGCAACCCCGCTGATGATGATCACACATGTTGCTTCATAAGGATAAATTCCCACAAACTCTTGCGAGACACCATGAGTGGATAGCATTACTGCAGTTTCTTGGAGAAAATCCTTCAGGCTGAACAGGGTCCTTGGAGAGCTTCCCTTCCCATTCCCAGAAAAGAAAAAAAAATGGAAGAGAACAGCATGAGTAGTAACCTTTACGTCCATAATTCAACGAGGACTCGGGCAACACACTGTTCAGTGCTCGGTTTTACACAGCAGCACTTAAAACGGCCCAGTGATGAAAACTGCACATGTGATATTTGTGTCAGATTTCATTACACAATCGTGGACATGGCACACTTCATTTAAAAGTACAAGTATGAAGTATAGGTGTTACACGGCAGCATCTTGCTTCCAAAGAGAAGAATGCAAAGGGAATGGCATTTTGGTCTAAAAAGTATTTTATTACCTAACTTTACCAACATATGCCATTTAACACTCCGGCAAATTCATTACAGAAGGGGAAATGTTTTTCGTGTGTACATTTTTGAAATAGCCAACCAATGATTTTCCAGAGTAATGTGGAAAAGGTGTGGCGCAGTAGTAATCATTTGTCTGTTTGTCCGTCAACTAATAAATTATAAGAGCCTTTCCGAACCCCCCCCCCCCCCAGATTTGGGGGTAAAAAGTTGATCCAACAGGTTTACAAAAATTGTCGACCCCCCCCCCCCGAGAAAAAATGTTCACTCCCTCCCCACCTAACTTTTTATATGCCGACATATAAAAGGATATATCTCCTGGTATATACGATGTATATGCCTACACATCCTATATACAGTAGTCAATAGTATCTGCACACATTAGGGGGAGGGGGAAGAAGAGGACATCGTTGGGGGCGCACGGAGAGGCACGAAGCGCTGAGAAGCCCTCCGCAGGAGCCAGCATTTTGGTGGACATTGAAATTCTGGTAAAACAAAAAGGTGGACAATGCAAGACATGTCAATTAGGCGCTAAAAATTTAACCCGTAAAAACAAAGTTTTTCACTATAAATCCTTTATATGCGTGGCGGCTAGAGTCCTCTCGTCCTCTGGCTTGAGATGGCTGCCACCTATGGGTCAGATGATTGCCTGCCACCATTAAGCAATTGGTAATTAAATAGATTTTTTTTTTTCCTAAAAAGTGTAAAATTTTGGATAAAAAATTTCACGAAAATAAATTGTACACGCACAACGAGTCTGTGTGCAAAATGTCAGCTCGATTGGATCACGGGAAGTGGGTTAAAAAACGACCGAAAGATTTGCACGGTCGCAAGCGCACAAGCAAGCAAGTGAACTTAATATAAAGGATTTTTTAAAACATTATTAGAGCTTAAGTATGTGAAATATGGGTGTGTGGACTTATAATGTGTTGTCTGATTTTATTGCTGCTTAAACCAATCGGTTTACTCGTGGCCATGTTTGTGGTCATGTCGGCACCGAGTCACAGACCCTTAATAATAATAACACTTTTATTTTATATAGCATCAGCCATGCTAATAGCATCCCACAACGCTGTGCATTAATTATATATGAGGACCAAATCCCATAGTACAGCCACTGCCAAGCAAATGAGAACCCTACTACCAAGCAAAATCAAAAATGAGTAAACAAATGAAATGTCACCAAAACAAAAAGCACAAACAACAAAAAAGTTAATTCTAGATTTGCAAGTTTTCGTGACTGCAAGAATTCATACTCTTTGGTTTTTTCGGTAAAGTCACGTAGGTAAAAAATTAATTAAATAAATTAAGACGTCTGAAGATGGAGGCTTTTGTTGCTTCTGAAACGTCATTATTTAATTTAGTTGTTTTCATTTATTTTATTTTTTACCTACGTGACTTTACCGAAAAAAACAAAGAGTAACAAAAAAGTTATCACAACAGAGCAATGTATCCATTAGGCAATGAGCAATAATTATGGAACTCGTGCAGAAGCTTTCCAATGCAATGTTTTGTATACATAAAAAACTACCTAAATACAGCTTACGTAAATTAAGGTGTGCATAGTTGCATTCAGTGTGCTTATATGTACTAGCAATTATAAATAAATAAGCAAATGTACCTGTCAAATTGAATTCGGTGAACCTTTTCGATTTTTACATTGTCCCTTGAGCCCTGTTGGTGTTAATTTTTTCACATTTAACATCAACCAGAAAAATAAATAAATGAATCCTTCAAACCTGTCAGAATATCTGTGCAGCCTTCCGCATCCACTGAACCTTAGCCTTCCACCAATGCTTCATGGTGATTCAAACACAAGTGATTCTTTAGTGTTATTAAAATTGCAAATATAACATTTTAAAGATTGAGCTAATCCTCATTACATTTTTATTCGATGTATTAGCTTGTAATTACATAAAGAGTATCAAATGTTTCTGTGATATTATGAATAATTTGCCAAACATTCCCATAACTGGAAAGGCTCTCTCTGGTTTTGAGAGGTTTTACCGTATTCACCATGAACATGCTTTGTCTGCAGCACAGATTATATTTATCCACCCACTGTTAAATCAAGGGTTCACTATATACACGACTACTTCTAGATTTGAAGCTTTCGTGACTGCAAGGATTCATACTCTTAGTTCTTTCGGTAAAGTCACGTAGGTAAAAAATGAAATTAAAAAAAAAATCACGACACACAAGCTTCCGTCTTCAGGTGAAACTGTCACAGCAAAATATCTGTATCAAGATAAAATATCTTGCCTCCGAAATGTCGTGATTTTATTGTTTTTATTTTTTATTTTTATTAATTTTAATTTCAATTTTTACCTACGTGACTTTACCGAAAGAACTAAGAGTATACACGACTACTATTTTTATTTTACCAGGTAAGGCCTACTGAGCTATCTGTCTTTTTAAAAAGCCACCTGGCCCACAAATGATATCTCAACCAAGTGGCTTATCATGTGCAAATGTATATCAGCCAAATGCTCTAAATGCATGTTTATAAATGTGGAGGGAAAAACTAGAGGACCGCCAGAAAAATCCACGCGACCACGGGGAGAACATGCAAAACTCCAAATATACAGGCGTCAGTGTCAGGATCGAACCAACGTTACCCTGTATACCAGGCGAGGTCGTTAACATCTCGCCACCCTGTCCTATAATGTGCAACTTTTCGACAGTAATAGGGGGGTGACCTTTTCCCGCAGATGGCAGATCTTCAGCAGGAGCACCAGCGCGAAACCGAGGGGCTCCTGGAGAACATCAGACAGCTGAGCCGTGAGCTGCGCCTGCACATGCTGATTATAGACAACTTCATCCCCCAAGAGTACCAGGTGATCCAGGCACCCATGCCGTGCACCGTTGACCCCCCTTTCATTCCCACAGTGCACGCATCTCTGCGAATGCTTCTCGGGTGGGGCCTTCGGGGTCATCACCGCGGCGTATAGCGTACACCCAGTTGAATTAATACGGTAGTGCTCAGGTGACCTGGTGGATCAGAGGCCAGAACACTGAGCTGGCCCTGCTGAGATGCTGGGTTAGAATCTTGAGCAACTGCCTGTGATTAAAAATTATTCTCAAGTACAGTGAGGTGATGTTCGCAGCCTTACCATCGATGATTGCACAAAATCATCGCAGATTTGGTTTCTGCACACAGTTTGGCTAAATTCCAGCTCTGCGATTTGTAAAAAAAAAAGTATATTGGCTATAATGTCATGCGACGAATATCACTCTTGGAGGTAAAGATAAAAACATTGTTTACGTAAGGTTTGAGTGATGAAGGCGATTGCGGATTGTATATATGTATGAGAATCGTGACGTGGTTCCTGGATATGGCTTGACACAATCTGTTGATGGTGTCCTGGAGTCACCCAAAAAAAACCCTGTTGAAGAGGCAATCGGAAAGCCACATTCATTGTCTTGCCCTAGCTCTGGCTCAACCTTAGTGCGGAGTGGTTCGGTGAATATTTGGGAGCAGGCGGGCATCGGATGAACCTGAGCTTAGGACCCGGATTTGGGTAGAGACCATTTAAAGAAGAGTTCAATTTACCTCCTGGATTTCACTGATGGACCGGCATTGCTTAAGCAGCAAGGTATTGATATTTCTTATTACAAGGGTATTTACAATACGGACAGTGTGGGCAGTGCCTGGTATTAGGGTAATATAGGTTATTGATCAATAAAAGGTAACATCCATCATCTCTGTCAGACATTAATCAATATAATGTGACCATAGGCACTGCCATGTTTTGTATGAAATTAATTTAACTGCCACGCTTCAGATTCTGGAATCAGCACCAGCAGGTATCACCGTTCCTGGTCTCATTAGTGTGGAATATCATATTTGCAGGTATCAGCAGTACTATTAAAGAGTCCATTGAATCTGCCAGGTACATGTCTTGCAGCAGAGCAATGCTGTTTGAAGGAAAGCAATGCCATTGTAATAAACGCAATGTTACATCAACACATGATTAAATGGTTTACAGTGTACGTGCTATCTAAAATGTACGTTTGTTACACCAATTATATTTAATGCCACGTTTTCTTGAAAATATGCAGTTAATTTCCAGTAACAGTTTAGCCCGTCATTATTGGTAGTTAGTGTTAAATTGTGCATGCATTTCTAAGAATTTGATTAATATGTTGAGCTGCAAAGTAAACCTTGATAACTAAATTATTGTTCGCAATCAGAAATGCTTTGTTCTTATTGTAATACATCTTAAGCCACTCGGGCACCATACATAGTTGTGAATGTTTGGTTAAACAGGACTCCCGTTTTAACAGGAAATGATCGAAAACTACGTGCAGTGGAATGAAGATATCGGGGAATGGCAGCTGGTAAGGAAATTCCAAACAACCTGTGGACATTTATCAGAACCGGAAATGTACAATTACATTCGTAACAATCTAAATTCTGTCCACATGGCAAAACATTTTTTCAGTCAAGGTCGAATTCGAAATGTACTGACGTTTTACAAAATCAATACCGAAGCAATACTAATCTGTTCATCACATTTTGATTGCCGTTGATTATCTCACGGCACGCTGTGAAACGTTCCCATTTCTGTTCGCGTTACCTACTTTTCCCGAGATTAACCTTTTTTTTCATTTTGGCAGAAATGTGTGGCATACACCGGAAACAACATGCGTAAGCAAACGCCCGTCCCAGACAAGAAGGAGAAAAACGTAAGTCATAACCAACACTGCAGAGACTCGTAGAATTAGCACAAACAAGCTACAAAATACAGCAAGGTCTATTCGGGCACACCTCATGACCTGCAGCTGTGCAGCTTGTTGGACTGACGACCGTGCCACCAGGATCCAATGGCTTTGTGTCAACAAGTTCCCAATTATACATTTCCCAAATTCTCCAGGACAAGGAGGTGTTACGCAAAGGGATGAAGGTCAAAAACGTGTGATCTTTCCACAGTCTGTAAACATTGAATGAGTAAGTCCATCTGAATTTGTGCCTTCTGAGTGTGGAAGGACAGTAGGGGGTCACACTGGCCCTTATATGGGAGCTTGTTGATGGTTCGGGGAGGCTGTCTCCCGATAAGCATTCCAGAGTCGAGGCCATTATCCTTGTATATATACGGACACCATGATATGGCAGCAGTAAAGTTACGGGCTGCCTTCACACATGAATAGTGCATTTTAAACAGATACAATAACTTAAGCTGCTACTAAGACTAGAAACGAAACTATATTTATTTTATCAGGTCAGGCCAACTGAGCTATATTGCTCTTTTTCAGATGCGATCTGGCCAAAACCGGAGTACCTGCGGAAAAATCTGCACGAACACGGGGAGAACATTCAAACTCCAAATATACAGGCGGCAGGATCAGGATCGAACCCACGCGCTCCTGTATACCAGGCGAGGTGGCTAACATCTCGCCACCGTAGTTTCAGTCCTTCATTCTCTGCCTCATTTCTATCCATGGAACACGTCTCAAGCGTCATTGGTGTTTCCTCCCTCTATTTATCCCACGCATATGACTCAAGAATAAAGAGTGACTCCTAATTTTTGGCAGAGATCTACTAAATATTAATTACTTATTTTGTCCCCCTCTAGCATCACGACTCTGTCCCACGCAGCTGTGCGAGAGTTTTTTTTCCACGTTCACAGACTTGCTCGCACAACAACAAAATGGGCGGACAATAAACATAATGCTGGCCTTCGTTTTTAAGTCTCTGGCAAGCTTTATAAACTAAAAATAATTAAAATAGGTCCCTGAAGAGTTCGTGCCCATTTGTGTAAAGTTAAAGGGCAGTTTAATACAAATGTTGGCAAAGCCTTTAAGCAAGCCGTTCCACTAAACATTGTTCATTCGATGCTTTTAAATTAGCCAACAATGGACCACGTCTTGACAATGGACGAATCCTTTATTAAATGGCTTGTTCACTGTTAAGTTCCCCTTTTAAAATGAAGAGCAATCACAATTACTTATAATTAGAAAGATTGTTGCAGAACGTATTGCGAATGCTATCTGTGACTTTTAAGTTCCCAAGTCCGCTCTGCTGTTCTTGGCCTCGTAGCGTCCAAATGCAGACCAAAAATATGGTTTGATTAAATGATCTAAGTGAACGTTACACACACTCCCTGTATAGCCATTAAGCTAGGTTATATACCACATTGTAAAAGGCTTAACCCCCCCCCCCCCCCTAACATACAATGCTGTATTGTAAATTAGTTTAAATGTACATTGACTGCATTCTCAACTCGTAATACTTCCAGCATGTGCAAATGGAATAATAACCTGGCATGCATTGTTGCCTTGTTAACCCCCTTCCTTCCCTCGCTTCGTTGGCAAGCCCTTTGAGGTGGACCTTTCGCACGTGTACTACGCCTACACCGAGGAGAGCCTCCATCGCTCGCTCATGAAGCTGGAGAGACCCAGGACCTCGCGCAGCGGCCCCAAATCACGGCCTAAAAGCGGCCGAAAGTAAGTGTGGTATCGGCCGCACGGGATATGGTCGCTCCCGTTTCGTGGCTAAGACATATTTGTCCCCGTGCATGCTTCAGTGCAGATGGCCACTCCCCACCCCAAATTGGGAGCTGCCAATTCAAGTGGCTGGCTAAACTTGTTTTTTGCATCTTTAAAAAACACGATTGGCTCATCCGTGGTTTCAATAAAGACGGCAAGAGGTGGTGAGTTACGGCAATGATACGATTTTTTAAAAATAAGGTTCCTCACTGATGGTTCATTCACCAACAAAAAGCCACCTCTTTGCGCAGTGATATTATTGTTTAGTCTGCCATTAAATACCTCTCAAAGGTAATAAAAGAATATGGAACACGTTCAACACTCCCACGAATTTAAACACAACCCGTGTGTGTGTATTAAACTTGTGTAAATATACAGTCTATTGAAGTTCTACATCAAACGTGCTTTGTACTGAACAATAAAGTGGGAGATGAGAAGCAGCCATGTATGAAGTACAGGCCATTTTTTTGTTTATTTTTTCAAAAATATACATATATATGTAAAGTCCACAAGGGCCAAAATTAAACGCCGCATAGTCCAAGTAATCCGCAATTGTGAAATGAAACCTTATCCAGACGGTAGCGTGTTTCATTCTACCCCGACATGCAGAAGGATCTGGGGCGCTGCACACAGCGGTGCATTGTGCTCGGCGTTGTTTTAAGTCCCGTTCACGTTAACGCTTTGCGACTTCAGAAGCGATGGGCACGGCACCAGCAACAGGGTCTCACTGTCTAGAATGAGGCACTGGCAAGGGACCCGTGTGCATTGCACACGGTGCGTGTGTGGACTGATTTATAGTAAGCTCCAGGGGCAGCGAAAAAAACACTTGGAAATTATTAAAGTTGGACCTGAACAATGAGCCATTTTATGCGGCGTAACTTACCTTGCCCTCACCACTGCAGTCTGTTTGGAAGAAATTGCTTCATCGTGTTTTCAGCGAGTGATGGACAAAGCTGTAATTGATAGGAAAAAAACGTAACGTCAAAACACGGCTAGTTCACCTTCGTTCAGCACACCGTATATATATGTGTGGAAGCCACTTTTTATATTAGAGAAGTTGTTTATTTTGGAAACTTTGCTTTGATGGTGGATGTTTATGTAATGAGTATGAAATTGTAGGAGACTGACCTGCGGGTCACTTCCCAACATCTCCAATGATTAAGCATTAAACTTGATATTTCGATTTCAAGGTTGTTTGAATTGTTATTGAATTTTTTTTCAAGGCTAAAGCTCGTTAATGTAATTACGTATAAACTCAGAAACGTGATACGTTGTTTTCCAGGTAACCGTGTAAGAAGAACTGCAGTTGTTTTTGACAGGTCTACATAACCTGCTTTCCAACATTTCCATTGTTTTTACTAAGATTTTATAGTCGAGTGGAGCACTGGTGCACCGTGCTATGAACTCGGCAAACAGAATTAAATTCCCGGCCATGGATAATGTCAGTGCCGAGTAGCAACTAAACCGTTCCTGGGCCTTCCCACTCTACTTTACAGACCCACTTCATGATGGTGAAGTGTGATTAAAAAAAAAATCCCCATGGCAGACACGAGCATTGAGAGGCCTTCATCCAGTAGTGGATTGACAATGGGTGAAAATTACATTTTTAGATGCCTCATAGCAATTACCTTTGCAGTAACAGATTCCAAAATGCAGGATATTACATGATGTAATTAAGCTTGAGTCATTGAAAACGGTGGTTCTTAACTTGGGGTGCACGCACCCCCTGGGGGTGCGAGATGCCCTTTCTTGAAGTGCGAGACATGGCCAGTTTTATTTAGAAGGTAAATCATCAAAACAAAAATTAAGAATGGTTACGTAAGTACAACAACTACTTTGTTTCATCAAACCGATGTATTTATTAACATATATTTTTTACGATTGAGAACCAAAGGGGTGCAAGGCTGCAGTAAAGGTTAAGAACCACTGATCTAAAACTGCTAGAAATCCAGCACCTCAATGTTTAGCAAGTTTTAACAATTTGTGCGTTGTGGAGTTTAAAAAATAAATATAATTTGGTTTGCCAAAATAGATAATTAAACTATGTTGATATGACGACGTCATCTGCCATCATTAAGAGATTGCATTCATCGTTCAAAAAAAACCTTTTCGCTTCCAGATGCCGTGAGAGATGCCACGATGCAGGGCATGTCAGTTGTGCGAACACGACACAGTGCAGTACGCCACGTTGGTCACTTGTTCGATGATTGTATTATTTCACACACGAGTTCACTTCTAGCCCAGTATTGCATAATATATGATTGCAAAGTATTGAGAGACAAAGTAATAATGGCACTTCCTCACTTCATAAAACTATTATTTACATCATGTTCCAAGACCACTCAAGTTTAAGGAACACTAAATTTTGATTTAAGGAACACGTTTTTTTTCGTCTGGACCCTAGACAGCGTCAAACTATTAACTCCAGGGATTCAAATGTGTTCTAAGCTGCACAGGCAAGGGTCTGCGCTCTCCGACCACAATGCTCCAGTCTGGAAATTCTAAGAAGGGCACATGGGAATTCCGATTGATGGTTAGCCGTGTCCTGCATTGAAGACTTACAGGATGCAATGCGTGCACACGTGTTTCAAACGAAACTTGTCGGAGCATCGGTAAACGATTATGGACCGGGCTTAAGCTTTGACTCCAATTTCTTTTGTTCGAGTCCGCGATGAATCAGCATCATAAACTTTGGCAGCGCTGAATTCACGTCTGTGTACAGTGTGCACTGCCCCGCCGAGGGAGCTAAAGCGAATTAAAGTGGTACGCGATGTAGCAGTTCATGTCACATTTAACTGTCGGCTTCTTAATCCCAACAGCTGTTATCCCTCCCGCGTGCAACCTATAGCCCAGGCAGCCCCTAACGGTGCCCAGGGATGCTGGCGCTGGAGCAGATTGGCGAAAATATATATAAACCGGTCACTGTCAGGACCGCAGCTGATTCCATCATCGTGCCAACAACATGCACCTCCCGAAATACAATGTGTTTACATGACATCAGCAACAGTTGCCAACATCTGTCTTATTGGACATGTGCTGTTCGACAAGGCAGAAGGAGAGGTCATGAATCAGACATTAACTTGGTAAATGTTGCAGCCACCGACAATTGGACATCTCCAGATTTTATGTAGTCCCCGTGCTCGATTGTTAACTCGGCATGATGGAAGAGGTTTCTAGTAAAACTCGTGCAAGCTGCGTAATGGTGGCGCCATTGCACTAGGTGCATGATAGAGCATTACGTGTATGCAAGACATACATCATGAATGTTACAGGGTGGTGCAGTGGTTATTGCACTGTGCTACAAGCTCTGACTCGAGTTCAATCCCCAACCATGGCTAGCATCAGTGGTGAGTAATATCTGAACCGGCTTTGAATACTTTTTACATTTCACCAAACAGCACTGACCTGATTTTTCGATTTAAAGCTTTCGTGACTGCAGGGATTCATCTTCTTGGTTCTTTCGGTAAAGTCATAAAATAATTCTCACGACGTTTCGGCCACAACGCAGGACGGCTGCTTGCGTTGTGGCCGAAACGTCGTGAGAATTATTTTATTATGTTTTATTTTTATTATTTTATTACTTCCCTTCTACGTGACTTTACCGAAAGAACCAAGAAGATGAAGCACTGACCAGCTAGGTGAAGTTTGGTCAAATGCATCTCCATGGTGTGGGGAGGGGGGCCTTAATATAGCTGTAGTTTAACAAATTGCAGGATGACTACTTTTATAACAGATTCGTGTATCAGTCACATGCACATCAACAGCAGTTATCACAGCATTTAATGAATACATAACCAGCCTCGACTGGCGAACTAACTCCAGGGCTTGCCTATATCCCTGCATCTCACAACCTGCAGGGCTTCTTTGTACGAGACCAACGCTGCGTGAAATCTCCCTTCCCGTCTCCGAATTATTAATTCATTTCCTGCCGTCTCTTGGCTTTGGTCACAGTCTGTACACCCATCTCACCGCGACGTTAATCTCCACCCTTCCTCCTGTCCATTGAAACTCTGCAGAGTTCTGGTCAGACAAATAGAAAGCACCTATAATCACAGCCCCGGAACGGTAGCCCACGTGGGATGGCTCAACGCACACGTTGAATTGTGGTGACGGAAGGAATCCACGCATGCCCTGTTGTATGTGTGCATGTTGAACTTCTTTTGCACCGTATGTAGCCAACCGTGCTAATCGGAGGGGCAGGGGAAGGACAAACTAAACACAAAAAGTACTTCTAAAGAAACGCGTTTTCAATCTAGATTTAAAAGTGCATAGCTTTAGTGGCTTCCTAATCCTGGAAGAGCGTTCCAGACGGCTGCAGAAGCGCATCTGAAAGTGTGCGGTGCAGTGCTCGTCTTTGTTCGATGGCTAGGCCAAAAGCTGCCGTGAGGATGACCGAAGTTGGCGTGATTGTTCATGCTCCTTGACGAGACCAGCGAGGTATTGTAGTTCATTTGTGGCATCTTGTCATGTGTTGTGTGCGCGGTAGAAAAGCATGCCCGCGAAGATGACCACCGGTGCCGGTGCGATGATATCGGTTCATGTGCAGCAGGAGTAAGGCATTCCAGGACTCTAAAAGGATGGTGATGAGAGTGGAGCAGCCTTCATCCAGCAGTGGATGGAAAATTATTAATGTGCATATTATCCAGGTACACCAGACATGTTTCATATAGGAGATGAGCAAAGGGATCATCTCGTGTCGGAGGGAAATGGAATGCGACCTCGCAGGACTCAAGAATGGCGTCAGCGTGGGAATGGCCTCAGTGGATGGGGCAAAGGATGATGAATGTGCACACCGCATATGTATATCGGTGGCAATTTGAATCGGTAAGATGGAACGAAGAGGTCATCTTGCGTAAAGGAGAGGTGGCTTGTGGCATCACAGGACCACGATGGGAGGCCTTCGTCCAGCAGTGAATGCACAATGGATCACGACGGCTGATAAATGATTGAGATGACGAGATGATTGACGCGGTGTTTATTGTTAAAGTGCGGACGGATGAGGTCAACCATTATTTCAAAATGTAAAACAGAGGGCTTGTCCTTTGAGGTTCACCCATTGCGTGGGTAGAGTCAGTGTTAAAACAACAACAAAAAAGTCTGCAAGGATGCACAATGTGCCCTGTAGGTGGGCGTTGTGCCTGATTTACGATAGGACGCAACGCGATAAGCGAGTATTGTTCGCGTTCGACTTGGCGTCCACACCCGCGGCACACGTGCAGGGTGATGTGCACGTATGCCGGTGCGTGCGTGTGCAACAAATATTCCATGCAAGCGCCCTTATCTCATCTTCTTGGTTCTTTCGGTAAAGTCACGTAGAAGGGAAATAATAAAATAAAAATAAAACATTAAATAATTCTCACGACGTTTCGGCCACAACGCAAGCAGCCGTCCTCAGGTGAAGACCAGGTCTGTCGGAAAGATTCAGACGCTGTCTCCCCGACAGACCTGGTCTTCACCTGAGGACGGCTGCTTGCGTTGTGGCCGAAACGTCGTGAGAATTATTTTATTATGTTTTATTTTTATTATTTTATTATTTCCCTTCTACGTGACTTTACCGAAAGAACCAAGAAGATGAATCCCTGCAGTCACGAAAAGCTTTAATTCGAAATTTAACCACCCTTATCTCGTTCGCTCGGCTCGTTTTGAAGGGGGGGGGGAGGAATCGTGGTGAAGGAGAGAGGCGTTTCCCACGCTCGCGGCCCAGACCCTTAAGTGCGTCAGCCACGCGTGGTCGCACTCCGAGGGACAATGGGGGCCCCAGCGTGTACTCTGTGGGGGAGGACGTGGGACACAGGGTGTGGGGGGACGTGGCGAGATGCACCACACCCTTGCATCATCCACCGGCTCGTACGGAAAGCAGCTGCGCGCTACGCACTAGCAGTAGCGACCAACAATGACAGCGGATTTGCACCTCTGCCGCTCCCACGCAACCCTCGCAACATCCTCCACCCAATAATAGAGCTTTTTGGGTTAGATCGCGTAAATATATAAATGTGTCGTTTAAACCCGCCACCACTCGACACGGCCAACTAGTGAGGGTTGTCACGTAAACAGAACGTGGCCAATTCGTCACTAGTCCAGCACTAGTGTAGTGTATAGTAGTGTATAGTGTATAGTATACTAGTACAGCAACACCGGTGTGTTGGAGAGCCAAGCCACAACATTTACAAACTGAGTACGACGTTTACGCGATCTAACCCAAAAACCTGTTATGGATGATATTGGTCGCGAAAGCCTACGTGTTAATCCTCCACCCCGCTACCCCCCCCCCCCCCGTGTCTTTTGTCTCATCTGCGACGCTGCGACCGATCTGCCTGCAGATGCCCTCTGACAACTTTGTCGAGCCTAAACTGTACGGGCGTCTTCCCACCGCGCGCCCTCATCCCGCTCACCGCCCGCTTCCATCGGCGCTGGCCGAATTTCAGCTTTTTAAATCCTTTATATTAAGTTCACTTACTTGCTTGCTTAGGACCGTGCAAATCTTTCGGTCGTTTTTTAACCCACTTCCCGTGATCCAATCGAGCTGACATTTTCCACACAGACTCGTACGTGACAATTAATGTTCGTGAAAATGTTTTTCCAAATTTTTACACTTTTTAGGACAAATATATTTAATTATCAATTGCTTAATGCTGCCATGCAATCATCTGACCCATAGGTGGCAGCCATCTCAAGCCAGAGGACGAGAGGACTCTAGCCGCCACGCTTATAAAGGATTTATAGTGAAAAACTTTGTTTTTACGGGTTATACTTGTTTTGCCTCTCATCTGGGTACTTCTGAAGCCGTCCGCCGGCTCAACAATCTTCGCCCCCCTCCCGCCAAGAAAAAGTATTGCTGGCGTGTTCTTTGGACGATTGTGTCATCACTTATTCCACAGGTCCGCGCCGAGGCCGTCTGAAATCGGAAAAAAATAGCATCGCACGTTAATGAGTAGCCCGGCTACACGTTTTATAAAGACCTTCAGTTGGTTTGTATAGTAACTGTGTACACACCCTTTTATATTTTTAAACGCTACTTATCAGCAATACTATTAAGCCCCTTCGATTCGAGCGGTCGTAAAGTTAGCCTCTCTTTTTTTTTTAGCGGAGCAAATATTTTGAGAGCTTGGGCCGTCCGGTCCAGTGAAGCCACCCCCAGCCATGTGAATTCAGGACTCGGGGAAATTATCCACGAGACCCCCGCGGACGGAGAGAGGAAGGGGGGGGGGGGGAAGGTGTCTTGACGAATGAGAAACAAAACACACGGTGGCTTTCACAGCTGCCAGAATGCTGCCTGTGTGTGTGTTTTTTTTTGTTGTTGCAGGAAACGTAGCCCCGGTGCAGATTCGATGCTGGACTCCCTCCTGCAGTGACTGCATGCAACTTCGGTTCTTGACGACCACGCATTGAGTCCCCATCGTTCGACGGCGGTCAAAGAACGAGCGATCAACCAATACCCCTCTGCAACCGATACCTCCACCGCAACCGGCCAACACGTATACACACACGCGCATGAAACACGACGCGTACACACACACAGCACGTGTTTTTTAGTTCCGCACGAAGAGATGGCAAACCAGCAGTCTACTTTCACCGAGGTGGTTGGCTACGTACGGTGCGAAAGAAGTTCAACATACGTATCGCATTTTTTTCAGGACCTGGAGAATTATCCACACGATAGGAGTCTATGGTTGCCCGTGCGAGGCAATACACGGTGTTAACCCTGTGCAATGCTTTTTTTTGCCGATCGAGTTTTTGGTGGCTATAGTACTTGTACACTGCAAAGCACTACCGGTACACACACGTGTGTGTGTGTGTGTGCGCGACACATCCGATTTGCGTTTTGCCGAGTGAATGAAAATTATTTACACGCACTTTCAAGGTGCGTCAGTCGTTCTTGCGACGTGTGATTATTGTTATATATGCACTCCAGACAAAAGCACGGTGTTTGCAATTGTTAATTACTTTTTGTCTGGTCGGGGTTTTTTGTTGTTGTTGTTTTCAAACGGTAGCAATTTTGCTCACTGCTCCTGAGAACTTGACGTTTTACGGACGACAGCGGTTTTCTGTTGGGGAGAGGGGCGGGCGATTTGGGCCGTGCACTATAACGTAGGGGCCTCGTATGCCTGTCAGATTTCATCACAGATTTGAAAGTAACGGACAAGGTCGACGTTGTAGCTATTTGATTCCCCGCCCTTTGCTCTCTCGTTCGTGGCGGACACAGCAAGCCGCGTGTACGGTATAAGTCGTTCAGACGTGGCATATTTAGTCCGCATCCCCCCCCCCCCTCTCTTGACTCTCCCCCGGCCCCTGCAATCCTCCACAAAAGGCTCTCTTGTGTCTTGTGTTTGGTGGGGAAGGGCAAAGAGAGAGGCCACAATTTAGGATGGTAATTGTTTCCTGTCTACTGCAGTTTGTTTGGAGACCTCGGTCTCGGTAATTAAGGAGATGAAGAAAAGAACGAGAGAGAGAGAGAACGATATGATGACCCCCGGGGGCTTAGAAAATTGCTGCACTTTGTGCCCGGGTCTGTTGTGAAGGGTGTTTCCATATCGGCTTTCAAGCACACATCACTCACTGTAATCAAGGTGTGTGGTGGTGGTGGTGGTGGTCGGGAAAAAGGAAAGCGTTGCTTTTGATTGGTACAATCTACTTTAACGCAGAGTTATGTAAAACTTAATTTCACGTGTAACTTATAAGATAATACTCAAGTGTTAACATTCGCCACGTTTTAAGCGTGCCCGCGTGTGTGTGTGTGTGTGCAGTCGTGTATGATTTACATCTCTGTCCAACCCCCTTGTTAGACAAAGGCCTGCTTTCATGTGATGAAACACAACTTATGGTGTATACAATATATAATAAATGTGACGCCTTGTATGCATTAAACACGCGCTTTTCGTGTTGGAAGTGGTCTCTAAACAGTAACCGTTTGTATGTGTGTGCGAAGTATATATATTGATTGGTAAATATTCACCTATTGAGAGCCATTTCACGCTAATTCCACGTGTTCTCGTGCCAGCTCTGCGTGTTCCGCGCAAATAAATTATGACAAATTGACGTCGTTTTGGAAGCACTTTTATGGACACCAATGTATACGCACGGTACAACCACGACCCTTGTGTTGCCCCACTGAGTCGCTCGAAGTTACGCCCGCCAAGGTGGGCTAGCTGGTCCAAGCATTTTAAATCACGTTTATAGGTTTTTCCCCCGAAGCTACCCGCTCCCAATTTTCCCGATAAGGCCAACTGTGTTAAAAAAAATGATTTACACAGGAAAGTCTTGCGGAGTGCCAAAACTATTTTTTCAAGAGGGTTCTGCATTGGGGCTGGGGGCATATGGCAGTTACATTCATCATCGTCATTATAATCAAATCAACCATGGTCAATCCACTGCTGGACGAAGGCTTCCCCAAGCTGCCACAAATTCCTCGCGATCCTACGGTGTGACAATAGGCTGCGAGCACACGCTGAGCAAAGTGCTGATCGAACCTCCCGATTAGCGCGCGGTTGGTTATGTACGGTACGAAAGAAGTCCCAACATCCGTGCGGACATAAAACAAGAGGTGGTGGACGTTTTCTGGGACGCGTTCCATTCCTTGGCCATCGCCCATCGTCATCCTGTCGAGCGGCGTGTCCTGCCCAAGAACACTTGCCATGAATGCGCAATAATAAATCATATTCTCGTTCTGCATCCCTACACGGCAATAACACTGTGTAGTCAAGGGGTCGGAAACACAAATAACAAGAAGAGACTTTTTTTTGTTTTTAATTCGGTAAAAAAAAAAACCCTCCCAAGATTTCAAGAGACGCAATGCCAATACGAGACGGCGAGTTCTAGATTTGAAGCTTTCGTGACTGCAAGGATTCATATTCTTAGGTTTTTTCGGTAAAGTCACGTAGGTAAAAAATGTTAATTAATAAAAGTAAAATAAAACAAAGTAAAAATCACGACGTTTCGGAAGCGAGTCCTTCATAAACACATCACGAAACAGATCTTGAAGAGCCGCACGCTGCTCCACAGCCACAGGTTGCTGGCTCCAGCCCATGGTAAACTTGGCTCCCATGGTAAACTGGACTCCCATGGTAAACTGGACTCCCATGGTAAACTGGGCTCCCATGGTAAACTGGACTCCCATGGTAAACTGGACTCCCATGGTAAACTGGGCTCCCATGGTAAACTGGACTCCCATGGTAAACTGGACTCCCATGGTAAACTGGGCTCCCATAGTAAACTTGGCTCCCATGGTAAACTTGGCTCCCATGGTAAACTGGACTCCCATGGTAAACTTGGCTCCCATGGTAAACTGGACTCCCATGGTAAACTGGACTCCCATGGTAAACTGGACTCCCATGGTAAACTTGGCTCCCATGGTAAACTGGACTCCCATGGTAAACTTGGCTCCCATGGTAAACTGGACTCCCATGGTAAACTGGACTCCCATGGTAAACTGGACTCCCATGGTAAACTGGACTCCCATGGTAAACTGGGCTCCCATAGTAAACTTGGCTCCCATGGTAAACTGGGCTCCCATGGTAAACTGGACTCCCATGGTAAACTGGACTCCCATGGTAAACTGGGCTCCCATAGTAAACTTGGCTCCCATGGTAAACTGGACTCCCATGGTAAACTGGACTCCCATGGTAAACTTGGCTCCCATGGTAAACTGGACTCCCATGGTAAACTGGACTCCCATGGTAAACTTGGCTCGCATGGTAAACTGGAATCCCATGGTAAACTTGGCTCCCATGGTAAACTGGACTCCCATGGTAAACTTGGCTCGCATGGTAAACTGGACTCCCATGGTAAACTTGGTTCCCATGGTAAACTTGGCTCGCATGGTAAACTGGACTCCCATGGTAAACTTGGCTCCCATGGTAAACTGGACTCCCATGGTAAACTTGGCTCCCATGGTAAACTGGACTCCCATGGTAAACTTGGCTCGCATGGTAAACTGGACTCCCATGGTAAACTTGGTTCCCATGGTAAACTTGGCTCGCATGGTAAACTGGACTCCCATGGTAAACTTGGTTCCCATGGTAAACTTGGCTCCCATGGTAAACTGGACTCCCATGGTAAACTTGGCTCCCATAGTAAACTTGGCTCGCATGGTAAACTGGAATCCCATGGTAAACTGGACTCCAATGGTAAACTTGGTTCCCATGGTAAACTTGGCTCCCATGGTAAACTGGACTCCCATGGTAAACTTGGCTCCCATGGTAAACTGGACTCCCATGGTAAACTGGACTCCCATGGTAAACTTGGCTCCCATGGTAAACTGGACTTCTATGGTAAACGTGGCTCCCATGGTAAACTGAACTCCGGAATCGATGGAGATTAACTCATTTACTAAAAACGCATCACTTAAGCTCTCGGCGAGGTGCTTTCCAATGTGTTGGACAGATGTGAAAAAGAGCTTAATAGCTCAACGGATTTGTCGAGTATCAATACATATTCAAGCAATCAATCAAAGTGTTCATAATAAAGGTTGTTTGGTTAAATCGCATTAGTATAAATGTAAGTATTAATAGTCGCAAAAGCCTCCGTCTTAAACCAATCAAAGTGGTATTGGTCGTATACACAGTGAAGCTGGTGTTACAGCGGGTGCAGATACATGCTCGAGTTGTCAGCTCCACAACATTGCAATAGAATGTCTAACAAATAATCAACAAAAAATAGAAAACAGCAAAAAATAACTTAAAGCTTTCGTGACTGCAGGAATTAATATTCATTGGGTCTTTCGGTAAAGTCACGTAGACGATTGCTTGTGTTGCGATCGAAACTGTCGTAGTTTTTGTCAATTATTTTGTTCTACGTGACTTTACCGAAAGAACCAAATAAAAAAAGACATTTTAAAAAATCACGAAATATCTGAACGAATCCTAATTCAAAACCAAATGACACTATAAGAATAATCCAAATAACAATCTGTGCGTATGTGCATGGGATGAATGAACACACATATATTCACAAATATGTGTACAACAATATATATTAGTTATGTAAATACGCAGTGTGTCTAAACAATATATGATAAAATTGGAAGTGCCCAGTGTTCAATGTCTTTACATACATAGGACAGCAGTGTTCACTGTGTATGTGTCTGTATGTGTGTGTTTGTGAGTGAGGGTGTATGTGAGTGTGAGAGTATGTTTGAGTGCGAAAGACTGCGTGTGTGCGTGGTGTGTGTGTACGCTTGTGTGTGAGTGTGTGTAGGTGCATGTGCATACTTTTTTTTACGTGTACAATGTGGGAAGCGGTAGTGTAGCGGTTAACGCGTTGTGTTACAAACCCGGCGACCCGAGTCCGATTCCCGCTCACGGTAAACACCGGTGATGATTATCTGAATCGGTCCTGGGCCTCCCCTAGGTCGACTCAGCCTCAAATGAGTACCTGGTGTGCGGTGTGTAAACATCGCCACTGGGGAGACAAAGGCGGCCGGGCGTGGTGCTGGCCATCCATCCTCTCGTGTGCTGTGCTAGCCTTTATAGATCCTCGCGAACAGCACTTGCCCCAACAGTCTGTTAAGGCTGTATGGGAGATCTCTTTCTTACGTGTGTATAAATGTCTCTAAGGTGCAGGTCAGAGAGTACATGGCAGATATACAGCTATAGTGATGGCAGATAGACAGCTATAGTGATGGCTGTTCAACAGTCTGATGTTCCGAAATTAGAAGCCGATTCTAATGAGTGTCTTGAGTGTTTCGGGGAAACTGGAGTCATCGAGAGGGGGCCCACCATGCGTACGAGGGGATAACACTGAAGATACACAAAGACGGGCTCGCTCTACTGCCATCTCCTGGCTTCCTCGCAGCCCAGCGGGTTATGGAGTTTCAGAAATCTCCGTGCGATCCACCATCTCTCGCCTCCAAAGAGCTGCGTCGCAAGCGTGCGACGCCACAACTTTCACATCCACCAGCCGACGTCATCCGATATGAATTCCCTAACGTCCGCTCATCTGGCCACCTCGACTTCGGGAATACGAAAGCGCGTCCTGCGTGGGCTCAGAGATTGGTACTGTGTCGAAAACAAAAGTGCAAATATGCTTGGAGAGACGCACGCTTCGCATTGCGGTCCAGAGGCAGACAGAGGAACGTGTGGATTCGGCAATAATGGCAAAAAGTTAAAGGTATTATTCTGACGGAGGAGAATAGTAAGTAGGCTTGCGCAGGACGCGTCGCTGGAAAGGGGTGACGGCCGGCGGTCGAGACTCGCGACGGAGTGACAGTCGAAGGAGGGAAACGCGTCCGACAGGAGAGCCCCCCACGGAGAATGAACGATGGCATCAGCTCATGTGAACCGTGCAGGAGGTGTATGGAATGTTGCATCGCAAGACAATGAGAGGATGGCGAAGGTGCGGTTCTGGCCTTCATACAGCAGCGAAATAGATCATGGCTGATGATGATATTACGATATCTGGAAGTGGGTGAAGGTTTAGCATCAAGAGTTGCATTTATAGAGATAAAACAGTCGATTCGACGAATCGCTTCCAACGTCACCCTAAAACTTAACCCTTAATTCTCGCTCACGTCCCTATCCATCCTCCCCCGTCCCACAGCCGCCCCGTGACCCACACCCACCCAGGTCACCTGAACCCACTCTCATTTGACCACCTCCCACGTCTTCAGAGATTCAGAGATTACTCACCACGGGGCAGTAGCAATTACTCAGGTTAACAAACGGAAGCCACGTTAACTCACGTCTCTGGTTGTTTTTTTTTGGGGGGGGGGGGGGGTTAAGACAAAACCACAGAAGTCATCCTCTCTTGCTTGCGGTGGAAAGCGTCGCGTCATCTCGAGGCGTGTTGGCCAGGGGGGTCCTGCACTCACACGCTTCGGACAGTTCACCTGTGGAAGTGGTTGCCCTGCGCATTTTTTGTGTTTATTTATTGACAAATCCCGTGGTAATCACGGATTCCCGAGGAAAAGCCCACGCATACCAACGAGGACGAGGATTGCACTCAATAATTCGAACAGAGAGGTCACAAACCTACCTCCTGATTTTGCCGTCTATTGGCCAACTTTTAGCCCCTAGGGGTTTTGAAGTCGAACGCCCGTGATGATGGTGGCGATGGCGGTGGTTCAAGATACATTTTCTGCTTCTGTCGATATCGGCAACGGCGCTGACGGTGTTACATAGAGCGGCGGTGATCGTGTTGGTGGCGGCTCTTTTTAAAAAAACTGCCGATGATTCTGGTACTCATGCTGCTGATTGTGACGACAATGATGGATCCGATCATAATGATGCCACTCATGCTGTGGCTTTTCCTGATGATGCCCACGCTACTGCTGCTGCTGATGATGACGACGCTGCTACTCATGTTGCTGCTACTGATTGCGCTTCATGATGCCGCATACGCTGCTCGCTAGCAATGCTGCATCTGCTACCAATGATCCTGCTCACCCTCAGAATCATCAATACGATGATCACCATCATCATCATCATCGTCGTTAGTCATGACCACACTTCTTTGTCTAACTCATTCAAATCTCCCCCACTTCTCCCCCGCCCTCAATCCTCCTCCTCCTCCTCATTTTCGCGCCGAGCTCTGCCCCCCAGCAGTGAGAGTCTGACATGTGAGCGAGAGAGAGTTGAGAGAGAGTTGAGAGAGAGACATAGAAAACAGGGGGAATATAGACATAGAGTAGGGAGAGAGGGGGTAAAGAAAGAGGGGGGGGGGTAGAGAGAGGGGGTAGAGAGAGGGAACGGGTAAGAAGGAGGAGAGCAGAGCGTGAAATCTTTTGTGAAATTTTTCATTTAAAAAGGTGGGGGGGGGGGGGGCAAAGCATTGAAAAAACGAAAGGATGAACGAAGCAAAGTGCCGACTACACCGAGCATCTTCTTGTTTCCTTTGATCGTATATAAAAATTAACCCGTAAAAATAAAAATTTTCACTATAAATCCTTTATATGCGTGGCATCGGTTTTTATTTTATTATTAATTTCTGTTTTTCTTGAGTAAGAGTTTCATTTTTATCACATTGGTATTTTAAATTAAATATGAAAAAAAAATTCCTAAAAAGTGGAAAATTTTGTACATTTTTTTTTCACGAAAATAAATTGTCACGCACAACGAGTCTATATGCAAAATGTCAGCTCGATTGGATCACGGGAAGTGGGTTAAAAAACGACCGAACGATTTGCACGGTCGTAAGCGCGCAAGCAAGCAAGTGAAAAAACAGAGTATCACGTGCGAGGGAGCGAGAGAGTTGAGAGAGTGAGAGAGTTGAGAGAGTGAGAGAGTGAGTTGAGAGAGAGTTGAGAGAGAGAGAGAGTGAGAGAGTGAGTTGAGAGAGAGTTGAGAGAGAGAGAGTGAGCGCGCTGGATCGGAGCGAGAGCAGTGCGCGGAGCATTTGTGGGTCGGCGGTGGAGCTGACGTCAGCGGCACGGGAGGGAAGAGAGAAGAGGGAGGGAGGCACCGAGCCGGGCATCACACGGAGCCCTGCGCCGACTCGAAGCGACACGCGGAGCAAGCGGCCACAGCAGCAGCAGCGGCGTGAGTCGCTAACAGCACCCCCCCCACCAACACATCCCACAGCGCCGCTTGCTTATATAGACCGCGGCGAGTGATCTACGGCGAATAAACGGCAGCGGTTGCAGGTAAATATTTAGGGGGGGCTTCAAAATAGTTTGCTTGACGGCGAAACACACACACACATAACAAGCGAGGAATAGTTTCCAAACGCAGAACCAAAAATCCATTTTGATATTTTTTCCTGTTTTAATACGTCCGTTGTAATGTGTTTGTAAACAAAACGAGCCAAACAATTACATTCGTGAATTTTTCATGTTTCGAGATGACAGATACTTGGTTTACGGCTAGGATTGATTTTACCCTAGATGGGTTTTTTATTGTTGTTCATGCGCAAAGCTCCCCACCAAAGTAAACTTTGCAATCATCGCCGCGCTCGAATTTCGCGACGGGAGGAGCACGCGGACACGAGTTTATATTTAGCGCCGTGTGGCTACACACGGAGAGCGGTCGAGCGCCTGGGCGGTTAGACGACGAGACATCTCGCAGTCGTGCCGCTCATGCCCGTGGTGGTCGTTGATGGTGGCTGCTGGTGGAATCTTTTTTTATTCTTCTTCTCTAACCCTAAGTCTATTCTTAGGTCGCGGACTCGAATCCGAGCGCACCCGCCGGGACATCTTACGCTGCGCCCTCGAATCGCCTCCTCCACCTCCTCCACCGCCGCGGCCACGATGTCCACCCCTAGGAGGTTCACGTCGACCTTCTGGCTCGCCCTGGCCATCGCCTTCGTCGTCGGCTTGGCCTCGGTGCACGGCCAAGGAAACCGACCGTTCTTTGAACCCTTAGACCAGTCCGAATCGGCAGACAACCAGACCATCGCGGTGATCAGTCCAGTGATGGCATCGCCGCCGCTCGGATCTCCTCGACTCGTGGCCCCCGCGAGCAATTCGTCTTCTCCTTCTTCGTCGTCGTCTTCCTCCTCCTCCTCCTTGGCATCCTCATCGGGGCTCAGACCTCCCGGGAGACCACCTCCGTGCCCCATCCAGAGCGGCATGAGCCACGTGTTCAAGTACATCAACACCATCCTGTCGTGCGCGATCTTCGTCGTGGGTATCATCGGCAACACCACGCTGCTCCGCATCATCTACAAGAACAAGTGCATGCGCAACGGGCCCAACGTCCTCATCGCCAGCCTCGCTCTCGGAGACCTCTTCTACATCGTCATAGACATCCCCATCAACGTGTACAAGGTACGAACGAGGAGGATGAGGGCGCGTGAACGGTGCGGTGTTCAAATCTCGATTTCTTAGCCACGTCGTGGCTCTTTAAAAAAAAAAGTTGTTTTTTGTTCTATATTTAAAATGCTGACCAGAGGGTAATGGATTCAGTCGTGTTATGTGAGAGATATGTGCTTGAATAAGATTGTTGTACATGCACATACCTGGGAGACAAAACAAAAACGAATAATCGCGCTTCACGATTTCGCGAAAAGATATTGAAAACAGGAGCTGCGTATAAAGCACGTGGCAGTGAAGAAAGTAGCTAAGCTGTACAAACTGGATAATCCCTGTAAGTCCACCCAGCAGCAATACTTTTCGGTGAGCTGTAACGTAGCGACGTCGTCTTCTTCGCGCTCTGACTTGCTGTCCCTTGCTCGCCGTCGTCCAAAACTCGCAGACGAACTTTGCAAAGCCTTTTGCTACCAGACCGCCACACGCGAGCGCTCGGTGTCTCGTCTCACGCGGCGCCCCATGCCACCTGTCCCGCTTATCTTTGACACCTATAAATAAAGCCCTTCTGAGGAGTGTCACTCTTGTCGATGAGTGGCAGCACGCGGTCGGTGTGGCCGCGCGCGCCTCTTTCATCGAACGCTTTTGCCTTGAGAAGTTCTCGCGAGTTCGATTCATCCGGCGGAGCCGATGAAGCGAGCGGGCTCCGCCAACGTTCGGAGAGAAATACTTTTTTTTTCGCTTTTTTTTACATTTAGTTCAGAGGTCATTCGCTCGGTGAGATGGCACGGGGGGCTGGGGTGGCGGTGGCGTAACACATCAACGTCCGTCCGCACGGGAGGATATTTGTTTCTAATGTGTGTGGCGGAGGCATCGAGCGGCCACGTTTTTGCCAAAAATAACAAGACGAGAATGACACGTTGGTCGAGAAACAAAATAGCCGTATAGTTTGGTATTTGTTTTACAGTGCCGCTTTATAAAATATTTCATTGCCACGTTTCTTAAATCCACTTTCTCCAGCCCACATTGATTGAGCGGAGTGAAGTATGGTCAAATACCCCCCCCCCCCACCCCCGTGACCCGCACGGTGTGTGGGGAGGCCCTCATCCAGCGCTGGATCGCACGTGTACACTTACAGGGTGTTCATAGAGGTTTCCATTATTATTAAATACAATGCGTATCGCGGTGCTCTTGGCGAAGCACGTGGCCTAGAAACCAGAACTGTGCGGAGGCAGCATTCAGGGTTGATGGATCACGCGAATGTTGTCAAATTTCCTTCCCGTGGGCATCAAGGAGGTACCATAACCCTGGCATTCCAGGAGAAGGCGGTACAGCAATCGTGGACTCTACCCGTTCCATCTGTATGGGATAGAGTATTGCCCCCTCGCATGCGTACATTTTTTTCTCCAGCTTGTTCCAGTTTCCTCCAACAGGTAAACACTCATTAATTGAATTTCGATTTAAAGCTTTCGTGACTGCAGGGATTCATCTTCTTGGTTCTTTCGGTAAAGTCACGTAGAAGGGAAGTAATAAAATAATAAAAATAAAACATAATAAAACAATTCTCACGACGTTTCGGCTACAACGCAAGCAGCCGTCCTCAGGTGAAAACCAGGTCTGTCGAGGCGACAGACCTGGTTTTCACCTGAGGACGGCTGTCGCCTCGACAGACCTGGTTTTCACCTGAGGACGGCTGCTTGCGTTGTGGCCGAAACGTCGTGAGAATTGTTTTATTATGTTTTATTTTTATTATTTTATTACTTCCCTTCTACGTGACTTTACCGAAAGAACCAAGAAGACTCATTAATTGTCCGATAACCCCTTCATATGTAGATGACTGCAGAGCTTGGAGGGAGGAGGGGTGGGGGAGGGAGGGAGAATGTCTGTGCTTCATTGCGCATCCGAGTCATTTTTCCGAGTGAACGTTGCGTGACCGACTCGTCGCAAGTTATTGTTCTAATTATTGGGCGGCAGTTTGATGTGGGGTCGAGGCAATTGCGGCCGCGCTCGCTCGCACGCACTTGGTCACGTAAAGATTTCACGGCGCGAGTCTCATCTCTCTAAAGTCTAAACCCTCCTCCCGCGTGTCCATCGTGGGCGTTGTGGGGTGACTCACACCGCATTGCAGGTTCGAGAGAGAGAGAGTCTGCCGCGTTCACCAGCGTCCCAGCTGCGATTGTTTCCTACGCTTCTTCTGGTTATCCTTTTCTTCTGTTGAAGATGACGCAAGCTTGTCGGTTTAACTTCGTGTGTTTGTGCAGGGGAAACACGACCAACATTGCAACCCACGCCGCTCACACCGCTGTCTAACTATAATTCTTGAAAGCCAAAAAACCAAGTATGGTGGTAACTTTATGGACCACCTGTAGAGTTTTTTTTTCTCTCTCTCTCTCTCCCTCCGGTCGTGTGTTGACAGAGTTGATTACAGACCTGAACGCGGTACACGTTGCCGAGGAATTCTTCAAGGAACACGAGCCCACAGTCTGCTAGCCGCAGAGAGTTGAGCATAACTTGGGCGTTTGGCACGAAAAAACAAAAACATGTAGCTACATCCATTCACATTAAGCCATGGCCGTAGAGTCCAACATTTCACATTCTTAAAACTGAGAGTCGTTATTTTTTGAGTGAAACTGTCGACTGCAATATTGCAACCGGCAGTGGATTTGTGTTCGGGACACAAACTTTCTGAAACACAACTTTCTCAAAACACAATTACGCATTTAGAAAGACCCGAAGAATATGAAGGTTTACAACTTACGTATCGCAAACCATAACTGCTCGTCTACCTTTAATTTTGAATGCGTATAATCTACAGTGAAGCCCGTTGTCAATCCGCTGCTGGATGGGTGCTGTTTGACCATACTTCACCATGCTGGTCAATGTGAACTGGAGAAAGGGGATGGTCCCAACACACAGTTCAAATGTCACTTGCGACAGATTCATAATTATTTGTTAGGTGAGATCGCGTTAATCAATTGTGTGCCGTATACCCTCCTCCACCCGACGCAGTAAATGTATCCAGTTGTCACGTGGTGAACAAACGTGACCAATGTATGATTGCTTCAGCAGCAGCACCACCACCACCGGTGTGTGTTGGAGAGCGATTTCACAACATTGGAACGCTCTTCTGCGGCCGTCTGGAATGCTCTCCCTTCCAATATTAGGAAGCCACTGGAGCTAAGCAGTTTTAAGTCTAGATAGAAAACTAATTTCTTTAGAATACATTTTTGTGTTTGGTTTGTTGTCCTTCCACCGCACCTCCAATTAGCACGATTGGCTACGTACGGTGCGAAAGAAGTTTAGCATACATATACACAATTGGGTCCGAAGTTTCGCTGTTAGTTACAACCAGCATCATCGAGCGATTATTTGGCTGTATCGGGTGTTGGAGTGTGTACGACACACGTTAGACTCACGCGATCTGACCAGAAAATTAATTATGAATCATAATATTGGTCGTGAAAATCCTACTACGTGTTAAACTTTCCACAAAATGTTTGACCGTGGCCAGGAATCTAACTCAGGGTGCTGGGTTCAAAGCGCAGTACGCTAACTGCTGTTCCACCACTGTGTGTAAATCTCTTTAACACATAATCCATGAGCGTCAAACATTTACAAGACTCATCTCCAGAGTTGAACATTTTAAAAGATGGTCCTTTTATTTAGTTGTGGCGTCGAACGAAGAATGTCTGGATGGATGGACGGAGAAAGAGAATGTGGAAGTTCTAGGGCAGGTACAGGAGGGGAGAAGTCTCATTCGAAAAATCTAGAATTGTGAAAAAGCGATGTGGATTGGGCACATTCTAAGAGGTGAACGCTCGATGAAGGATGCTCTAGAATGAGCGACGCTGGGAAAGAGGCCAAGCAGCAGAGAGAGAGAGCGAGATGTGGCGGCATGACAACTTGGAAGGCTTACAGTGAAATAAAGCAGAAAGCTCAAGATCAGGCAGGATGGAGAGAGAGTTTGAGCCAAGAGAGAGATAATTCTGGGTGACTGCACCCACCAGTCCAAATGATCTATTCATTCATATTTAGTCGTGCTCATTGGAGCACGAAGCCCCCCAAGGCGATGCAGACTCGGGAACCTGTACTGCGACTTGCAGGTCGCATACTAATTTCCGAGCCAAGATTACAATTAGTCTGTGAATACAGTCCGTCAACAACGAAAATAAATGTCACTCTGCCAGCTACAAAGTGACGATTATGCAATTCGTGACAATCTTGTCAGGTGGGAGAGGGGGGTGACGGTGATAATTTTGGCATTAAAGCTACCACGGTTTGCCTTACCCCAAAAAACAATAATGTGGATCAATGTGTTTAATTAATATGAATGCAACTATCATTTCCAGTCCGCTGTCAATCCACTGTGAGAAGGGGGCCTGGATAAGGGCCTCCCCATACCGTGTCAGTCATGCGGGCTGTTTGACCACGCTTCACCGTGCTGGTCAGGACAGGTTGGGGCAGGACCAGTTCAGATGTCACTTGTGACTGATGTTGACCATCGCTGGAAATTGAACTCAAGTTGCCGGGTCAATGGTACGGTGCGGTAACCACTGCCGTCACTACCACTCCACCACACGCATCGTGTGACTTGATAAATAGCAAGCTTTAAAGCTTTGAATTATAGACTGCTTCAAAATTTCGTTTGCTTCCATATGACTGATAAACAGATGGACAGAAAATATACAAAAATGCCCTCTGACGTATCCAGAAAAGCCTCAATGGAGTTTCAAGACTCTGTAAAACGAGCGTCCTGCTTGAGGATGTTTGGCCAATATTTAGGTGTGCACGCCATGGATTCGAGAGACTACATTCTGCACTGCCAATCTCCAGGCCACCTCGCAGCCCCAGTGGGTTTGGGAGTTTGGCAAATCTCTGCGTGATCCACCAACCATTGCCTCCAGAGCACTGAATCACAGGCGGGCACCAGCGTGTCTCCCCCCCCCCAGCTACAGCATGCTACGGATGTACAACCATAATAGAGTTTGGGTTTTTTTTTATATTTGCGCGATCTAACCCCAAAAAACCTCGGATAATATTGGGCGCGAAAGTCTACGTGTATATAAAACGCTTGCGTGTCTGCAGCCGGTCTGCACGGTCGGCTATGTATGGCGTGAAAGAAGTTTAACATACGTACATACACTTGGATACTATATACACGTAACTATATATACTGTCATGTTTTTTTTTACTGTTTGTTGTTCTAACGTTCTGACCCCGTGCCCCTACTGGACATCTGTGAAAAATAGATTTATAACTCATCGGATTCCTCCAGTATGAATACATATTCAGATTTTGATATACGAAGAGAATATTCGCAAAACGTTATTTGGCTAATAGACAGTTGTTATTCACTAACTTAGGAATATTCTGGCCAAAGTAAAGTGTCAAAACTTGTTATAAAACAAATAGAAATGCGTAGATGAAACGACGATGCCTCAATTGAAACATGCAAAGTATTTATTTACAACAACAAAAAGTACCCCAAGATTTTCGATTTAAAGCTTTCGTGACTGCAGGGATTCATCTTCTTGGTTCTTTCGGTCGAAACGTCGTGAGAATTTTATTATGTTTTCTTTTTATTATTTTATTATTTCCCTTCTACGTGACTTTACCGAAAGAACCAAGAAGATGTACCCCAAGATTGTGAAGTCAACAGCGGTGTTGCGATGAGTAGGCTCACCACTGTCATGGGAATGTGGAATTTCCACGACCGGTCGTGGCTGTAAGCAGGAAACGAGAGTTTCCCTGTGCTCGTTACTAGGATGAGAATTAATTAACTAATTGGCGCGTTGTTTACGTGACAAACCTTACTGGCTGTGTCGGGTGGTGGAGGGTTACGACACAACATTTCTACTTACGCGATCTAACCCAAAACACCTTTCTTATGATCATTAACTCGATTGACTTTTACCCCCCCCCCCACTCCCCCCTAAAAAGGCCTCAAAAAGTTCTGAAGACTTTTGTTGTTGTTGTTGATGTTTGGGAGGGCCCCAACTCATTTCCTCAGGAAAACCAAAAGTTCCCCACACCCTTCTGGGGTTGCGTGCGGTGCGTTTTTATCTTTTCAGCTTCACGCCGAGAACTGGCCATTCGGTGCCACCATGTGCAAGATGGTGCCCTTCCTGCAGAAGGGCTCTCTGGGCATCACCGTGCTGAGCCTGTGCGTGCTCAGCGTGGACAGGTGAGGGGAGACCCGGCCGCTCGCGTTAAGCCCCTTGCGAGACGCTGAAACCCGCCTTTGCCCGTTCGGAGACTTACGCAAGTCGTGGGGCGGCTGGGCTATTCCCGTTCACCGCTCAAATCGCGGAAGCGCTCAAAGCGATTGTTGGCGTGGATTTTGTCTGGAGAGGCGTAGTAGCGCCGTTGTTTTTGAAGACATTGTGCTCACTGCAGAGAACCGTAACGACACGACCGCACTCTACAATAGCCGGCACCGAGCTGTGCCACACTCCCTCCCGCATGGCCTTGTGGGAGCCTCGATACCGATAAAGTAATTTTATTTTAGTTGTTCTTCCGATTTTGTTCCGATGACGTACGTGTACATGACATACGTGTACATCATCGTAACGGAATCAGAAGAAGAATGGAAATGGGTTAACTACCTCGCCTGGTATACAGGAAGTCGTGGGTTCGATCTCGACCCTGATGCCTGCTGTATATTTCGAGTTTGCATATTGTCCCCGTGGTCGTGTGGATTTTTCTCCGAGTCCTCTGGTTTTTCCCTCCACATTAAGAAATAAACATGCGTTTGATTATAAATGCTTACAGTATTTGGCTGCTATAAATGTCCACATGATCAGCTACTTCGTTGAGCTGTCGTTTGTGGCCAGGTCGTATACAGCTCAGTGGGACTTGCCTGGTAAAATAAAAAAGAATAGGAACAGTCGCAGTACATCTCCAGAGTTTAAATTCCTCCTCTTGCCTCCCTCCTCCCTCCTCCCTTCTGCTCCTTCATTTATAAGCAGCAGGCTACAACAGTATTTTTTTTAAAGCAATTCCACAGCCCTCGGAATAGCCAAGCTTTAATTGAAGATTATTAAGTGACGGTATCATTCCTTGGGTGCCACCCAGAACCTCATTTCTCACTGAATATTATCCGACTTCCTAGTAGACTGGTATAGATGACACTAGCGCCGACTTGCAGCCACAGCCATAGCGAGCTTGTATACTTGATGTGGTGAGCCGCTGTGCGTACACATTTTTTCAGATTGCCAAACCGGACAGACGCGGCTGACATTAATCCCCGCTTCCCAAACATCCAGCACGTGTCAACGTATTGATCCAGCTCACTCCTGCGAGCGAGACTCACCCTGGCCACTCTCGAGTTCTCGCCTCGTTAAAACAATGAACACGAACTTGGCACCCTCTTCTTCAGGACCCGAAGCGATCGCCCGTTGCCTCTGCGTGTGCGTGGTGGTGGCGGTGTAGCGGTTAGCGCTACGCTGCGCTACGAACCCGGCGACCCGAGTTCGATTCCCGCTCACGGCCAACACCGGTGACGATTATTTGAACCGGTCCTGGACCTTCCCTAGGTAGACTCAGCCTCAAATGACGACGACGTGGTGCGGTGTGTAAACATCGCCACCGGCGAGACAAAGGCGGCCGGGCGCGGTGTTGGCCACCCAGCCTCTCGTGCGCCGTGCCGGCCTTCATAGGCGCTCGCTAACAGCACCTGCCCCAGCAGTCTGTTACAGGCTACACGGTGGTGGTTGGAGGGGGGGAGGATCCTTGTCTTTATCTTTGGTGGCGGTGGCTGCGCAGGTACCGTGCGGTCGCGTCCTGGAACCGCATCCAGGGCATGGGCATCCCCCTGCTGACGGCGCTCGAGGTCCTGGCCATCTGGACGCTGTCGCTGGTGCTGGCGGTGCCCGAGCTCGTGTCCTTCGACATGCTGTCCTGGGACTACCGCAACCGGACGCTCAACACGTGCATCGTGATCCCGCAGACGAGCTTCGTGGAGGTGCGCAGCGCGTCGCCCGCGTCAAGAACGTGGTGGGGGGGGGGGGGCGGTTTCGCACACTCCGGTCGGCACAAACGGAGATATGAATCGTCACCGAATGTTTTTTTGTCCGGGTTGCCGTTAAGACTGCGAGTGGGCACGTGACGGGTAAGCGGTGGCGCCACCACCGTGGCGATGAGATGTTGACTACCTCGCCTGGTAGGCAGGAGGGTCGTAGGTTCGATCACGACCCTGACGCCTGCTGCTGTGTATTTGGAGTTTTCGTGTCTTTCTCTCTCTCTCTCTCCCCGTGGTCGCGTGGAATTTTTTTCCGGGTTTTCCTTCCACATTTAGAATCAACGCGCGTTTAGAGTGTTTGACTGCTATACAATGACCACGTGTTAAGCCACTGGTGAAAATAAAAAATAGTTGAGAAATAGTTTAGTTTGAATTAGTCACTCGCAGCCATCATGATAAATATACTGGATGTGGTGTGCTGGGTGCGGACATATGTTCCAGTGTGGTCGACTGGGACGGACACGGTTAATAAGTAAGCTCTGCATGGTCACGTTTGTCCAAGTTTTACCGATTTATCTCCACTCGAATAGATATTAAGGGGTTACAAGCTGCGTTTGCCGAACGATTGGGTCATGCGATTGATGTGGTGGTGCACGTTGCGCTGAAATTGAATGAATATTGACGGCTTGTTTCGGCATGTGTCACCTCCGACGTGGAGAGGGCTAATTTGATTTGGGATTTGTGTCTGTGTACAGGTGTGTTGGTACATGTACGGATGTGCGGGGAGCGGCGGCGTAGTGGTTAGCGCACTGCGCTGCAAACCCTGAAATCCAAGTTCAATTCACACTCATGGCCAACACCGGTGACGAATATCTGAACCGGTACTGGACCTCCCCTAGGTCGACTTAACCTTAAATGAGGACCTGGTGTCGTGTGTGATCATCAGCATTGGGGAGACAAAGGCGGCCGGGCGTGGTGTTGCTCACCCATCTTCGCGTGTGCTGTGCCGGCCTACGAATAGATAACCGCTAATGAGCACTTGCCTCAACAGACAGTTACAAGGGGAGCTTTGTCTTTGTGCACACGTGTCACGAGTGACGTGCGGACTGGATAGTCGTCCGAATGACGCGTGCGTACCAGGCGGGGCGCAGAGCATTGCGTCTTCACGAGCGCTGCTCACGCCACGCGGGGCTTCTGTTGATCAGTAATGAGGCACGTGCAGCTTTCAGCAACTTGACTTGCAACTCGAATGCAGAAGGCCGGTTGAATGTGCAATGGCGGGCCGCGTTGGGTCGCGAGGACTGCAGTGTGAGAAACACCGATCCAGAGCATTCGAAGGAGAGAGGGGTGGTTGATGGTTGATGGTTTTTTTGTTTTTGTAGCAGATAAAGATGGCTAGGATGCTACAGGCCAGAGAGAGAGTTGTATGTATGTATGTTGAACTTTTTTCGCACCGTGCCTAGCCAACCGTGCGTGGAGAAGGGCGACAGACTAAACACAATGAGCGGCTCTATGATGACATTATTATGGCTGTCCAGGGGGGGTTTGGGGAGTGGTCGGGAAGGGGACTAAAGGGGACATTTCCTCTGAACCGCACACATAGGAGTGCCCCACAGTGAGCCTGCTTTGTTGGTATCCTGCCCTGGGCCTCCAGCCCTGACCCTCCAGGAACCTCTGGGCGCTCGCGGACGTTATTAGCCCCTTCCCATTGCGTCTCCCGAAGTAAGTCGCGTACGTCATCGGGACGGAATCAGAAGCAAAAGGCCACGCGGGAGGGCGCGTGGCGCAGTTTGTCGCCAGGCGTCGTGGAGTGTCGCTACAGTTCTCCGCGATGAGCACAATGACTTTAAAAACGACGGCGCCACGCCTCGCTCAATAAAAATCAACGCTGAGCCGCTTACGCGTTCCGAGATCCAGCGGTGAACGGGACACCCCATCCTGCAACTTGCAGACGTCTCAGAAACGGGAAAGGGTTAATGGACGAGCAGATGTAGAGGGAGACACCGACACTCGTAAGTAGAAGCAAGAAAGCCTTGAGCCCGAACTTGAATGGGATTGGTTGTCTCGGCCGTGCGAAACAGACAGGGGGAGGAATTCCAGACAGCAGGGGCAGCAGCAGAAGAGGGGCATGTGTGACCGCAGATAAACAACCCCTGGGCAGTTGAGGATGTGGTGGTGGTATGGGCCATGGTGGTGGGGAGGGTGAGCATCAGGGGAACCTAGTTTGGGGTTTTGCAGACGTAGAACAAGTGTCTCATAAGAAAGAAAAAAATGACCCAACGGATCCCACCGCGTTTCCCGAAGCAGACGATGTCACGATAAACCAAACCAGGGGCGTTTTAGGGGAAATCAACTCTGCTAAGGGCAACTCTGGCAGCGGAGTGACGGAGCTCTGCATTAAAAAAAAAAGCAAAATAGAAAATTGCGCGGTGACTACCGCCGGGCAAAGATTCGAGGACAGCGGTCGCTTTGACCGAACGTCTCTCCGCCCCCGTGACCTTCGGCGGGCCGATCTGACGCTGTCCGGCGGCGTCGGGGCAGACGCTGCGCGTTTGCGGCTCGTTCCACGCCCGTCCCACCGAGGCAAGGCGACAGCGAGAGGCCGCAGCTGCGGCACGAGCTGCATTTGTTTGTTCGGTCTAAACGCGCCGGCGTCTCGCGGCGTCTTCGCAAGGAGGGGGAGGCATGCCCATCCAGAGCAGCGGAGTTTCTCAACTCCAGTCTTTGCGACTCCCACCCCCCCACCGACCACCCTGCCCCCCCCTCCCCCCACACACAGGGCCGGATTAAGATTTTGGAGGTCCCTGGGCTGCAGATACTGTGAGGCGCCCAGTAATATTTTGAAAAGGAAAACAAAGTTAAAGAAAAAATGTAATGTTTTGTAACAATGATGATCATCAAATGAAATTCAGCATTCACAAATGAAACAACTTTTCACTTAACCTCATGCCTTGATCCGCCCCCCCCCCCCACCACACAGCCCAATACAAGTCGTAGATGCAGTCCAAAAAAAGAAGGGGCACACAAAGCGAAACCGCACGAGGAGACAGCTGCATGCCCACTCGCACACACAGTACACACACAGTACACACACAGTACACACACACGGTACACACAGTACACACACAGTACACACACACAGTACACACACAGTACACACACATGGTACACACACAGTACACACACAGTACACACACACAGTACACACACAGTACACACACATGGTACAAACACAGTACACACACACACAGTACACACACAGTACACACACACGGTACACACAGTACACACACAGTACACACACAGTACACACACATGGTACACACACAGTACACACACAGTACACACACACAGTACACACACAGTACACACACATGGTACAAACACAGTACACACACAGTACACACACAGTACACACACAGGACACACACACAGTACACACACATGGTACACACACACACACGCACAGTACACACACACAGTACACACACAGTACACACACAGTACACACACACAGTACACACACAGGACACACACACATAGTACACACACACGGTACACACACACAGTATACACACAATACACACACAGTACACACGCACAGTACACACACACAGTACACACACAGGACACACACACATAGTACACACACACGGTACACACACACAGTATACACACAATACACACACAGTACACACGCACAGTGCACACACATGGTACACACACACAGTATACACGCATGGTATATGCATGATACACACACAGTACACACACACAGTACACACGCATGGTACACACACAAGGTACACACACAACGTTGTCCCGCTTCTGACCGCGTAGTCACATATGAGTGAATTCAATCCGCAGAGTTTAGCAAATTTTGGTTAGCCGCATACACAGAACGCGAAATCTCACAATCGGAGCCCGCACAGAGCGAGGGAAACCTGTGCAAATTAAGGCAATGCACACTGCATGCGCCTGATAGTTGATAATCATGTAAATCTGTACCTGAGCTGATCTCGAGAGTGGGAATAGAGGTGATTTTGTTTTTTTATAGAGCAGGGTACACTGACTAGAATGTTTGCAGGCCAGACAGGGATGTGAAGCCGACATGATGGTAGAAGCTTGTATGAAGACGACACACGGTCCGTCTCTCAGTCACTCACAGAGATAGGCAGCTAATTAGATACTCTTTGGTTCTTTCTTTGGTTCTTTCGGTAAAGTCACGTATAAAGATAAAATAATAATTTATTATTTTATCTTTATACGTGACTTTTCTTTCTTTCGGTAAAGTCACGTATAAAGATAAAATAATAACCAAAGAGTATCTAATTAGCTGCCTATCTCTGTGAGTGACTGAAAGACGGACCGTGTGTCGTCTTCATACATATAATAATAAATTATTATTTTATCTTTTTACGTGACTTTACCGAAAGAACCAAAGAGTAATTCCTGCAGTCACGAAAGCTCCAAATTAACATTAATTAGATACTCTACCAACCCTGTGCTCGGCTGTCTAATCCGAGCACCTCCGCAGGTGTCACCACGAATTCCCACGTGGAGATTCTTCGCCCCGCCTGTATCTGACTAAACCCTTTTGTCTGCGCCCTCGCAGTTTTACACCCAAGCCAAAGACTGGTGGCTCTTCGGCTTCTACTTCTGCATGCCGCTGGCCTGCACGGCGGTCTTCTACACGCTCATGACCAGCGAGATGCTCGGGATGAAGAATGGGAACCTTGGCGCAGCCATCAACGAGCACCTCAAGCAGGTATCGAACCCAGGGACCTCGCTCCGGTACCGCCGGCCCCATCGGCTTGAGGCACGGACCAGACTGTGACCGATGAGGGGGGGGTGTGGTTGTGCGGTTATGTTGCCGATTTGCGGTGGCGGGCACGAGGGGGTGGGGGGGTGGGTGTCTGTGACGTTCGCCCCCCGACTTTGTCACCGAACGATGCGTAAAACTGCGAGATGTTGATTCGACCGATGTGGCAGTTAAATTCATCATCGTCGTTATAATCAAATCGCCCGTGGTCAATCCACTGCTGGACGAAGGCCTTCCCAAGCCGCCACAAATTCCTCGCGATCCCACGCTGTGATGATAGCACCTCCCGATTAGCGCGGTTGGCTACGTACGGCGCGAAAGAAGTTCAACGCACGCACGTGATGGCCGGGTGTCTCGGCGGTAGAGAGGGCGGCGAGCAGTCGAAAAGTTCCGCCGCCAGGTCCTGGTTAGGGGCTGACTCGGCCCATCATCCCACTGGGGTGGATAAAATTGTGAGAAGTCAACGGTGGAGAAACTCGACTGGCACAGGGCTGCAAACAGGAAATCGCTTTGACTGTTTTCTTTTTAATGTACAAGTTAACCGACGCAGCAACTTAATACGGCTAAGCGGTGTGCGTGTACAAGCGTGTGTGTGTGTTTTGTATGTGTGTACAAGTGTGTGTGAAGCGGTTAGCACGCCGCGCTACGAACCCGAGTTCGATTTCTGCTCACGGCCAACGGGAAACTTCTGTTAAGGCTATACGGGGGCTCTTTGTCTTTGCGCCCGTGCGCGTGTATGTTGCGTGTGTGTTGTGTGTGCGTATGTGTGTGCGCGTGTGTGCGCGTGCGTGCGTGTAGGTGCTCGCTAACAGCATTTGCCCCTACAGTCTGTTAAGGCTCTATGGGGGATCCTTTTTTTTGTGTGTGTACACGCAGCGACGTGAAGTAGCCAAGACGGTGTTCTGCCTGGTGGTGGTGTTTGCGCTGTGCTGGCTGCCGCTGCATCTCAGCCGCATCCTCAAGAGGACCGTCTACAACGAGATGGACCCCAACCGCTGCGAGCTGCTCAGGTGGGTGGGGGGGCCACCCCCCCCGAACCGCCCGCGTCCCCACCTCTCTCTTCCTCTCTACTCGTGCCCCCCTCTCTCTCTCTACTCGTGCCCCCTCTCTCTCTCTCCCTCTCTACTCGTGCCCCCTCTCTCTCTCCCTCTCTGCTCGTTCCCTCCTTGTCCCATGGGGAAATGAAGTGACAATCTTATTGTCACGTGACTATAGCAGCAGCAATAATAATAACGGTAAACGATGACGTTGTGTGTGCACGTCGAACTTCTTTCGCACCGTACGTAGTCGACCGTGTTCATCGGAGGTGTGGGGGGAAGGACAACAAACTAAAGGCGAAAAGCAGTTTTTAAAAGAATTTGTTTTCAAATTAGATTTAAAACGATGCGCTTTTCAAAAAATGTTTTTTTTTCAGGAGCGTCCAATGCCAAAAAAAAAACCCAAAGGAACGGTGTGACACTCGAAACTCCGCACGGTTAAGATTCGAAAATCCATTTGCTGCGTTGCCATCTCCTGTGTCACCTGACAGCCCCAGCCTGTTCGCAGGCAGTCGCAGCCGCCCCGGTGCTCGCCAGGCTCAAACCCCATGAGCTTCCCAACTCTGATGAGATCAGGGTACGTTCAGGGTGATTTGATTGTAGATTTTTCTTATTCAAAACATAGCAGCTTCGAGCTTCATGAAAATGGCCTCGGAAACACAACAACAACATCAGCAACAACCGCCATGCGCCGCTAAGTGGCGGTGACATCACCACGGCGTTCGTGCCAGGCTAGGTGCGCTTTGAGGCCACGTGAAGTGTCGAACGCCCGCTGGCAGGAGGTCACGGGACAGACCCCGTGTGCCACGGGTCGACTGGCTGAGATGAAACACACACGCGCGTTGATTTCGTGTCAGGTGACGAGCGAACGTGTCCGCGTTGCCACAATATTCTGGGTAAAGTGAGCATCCGCCGGCGCACAGAACCAAGCGAGGAACTGCTTCGGTGCCCTTGGCAATGAAAAGGGGGTGATGCCAGGAAACATCGCGTAGCTATGTAAGCGAGAGAGAGAGAGAGTGAGTTCGTGATTGACATGAGTACGGGGAGCGGAGTAAATACCCAAAACGCATTAATGTACATAAAAAATAAACCGCTTGAAACGCGGCGGAGTTTTCAGGATATAGAACGAGCTTCGAGTGAAATTTCCCCTAACAAAACACATCCTCATGTTGGCCTCTGGAATGTCTGGTGGCATTGTTAATTTAGCGTCACGTCAATTAATAACACATGTTTGGCTCGCGTGTAACAAGGGTAGTGGAGGGGGGGGGGGGGCGGACCCCAGTGGGGCCCTCCCTTCCGCGCGATCCGGAATGAAACGGCGCGACGGGCGCTCCTCGTTGTCACGGCACCTTCAAGAGGAAGGGGGGGGGGGGGCCTGCATAACCCCCCCCCCACTCCCGCCGCCCCCCCCCCCCCCCCACTCCATCCAGCCCCGCGTTTCCTCCAGGGCGTTGTTGTGAGCGTCCGACGCACCCGCTTCAAAACCCCCCCGGTGGTTTGCTTCTCCCCCGGCCCCGTTAACGCGAACGGCATGTGGCCGGCAAACGAGCCGGACCGCTGGATCGTGTCATGGATCGTGTCATGGATTGTGTCATGTGAGCGGCGTGGCAAGGAAGGGGGGGGGTGGATGGGACTCACAAAATATCGCAGCTCAACAGCGGGGGGGTGTGGGGGGGGGTCCCTTACCTATATCCATCACTCCTCTATCTGTTCACCGAATCCTCCGCTCAGAATCGTCACAAAAGCAACGCGGAGACGCAGCGGAGAGCTGAACGGCGCAACCGACACGAACCTGCGGAAGTCGTGAATCCAAATCGCAATGCATCTTGCCGAACCGACACTTTGCACTCCTATCGCGTTGTGTACTGTTTGCTGTTGCGACGTTCTGTCCCGCCCCTCCTACGGGACATCTGTGGAAAAAGAGCTTCGTTGCTCATCGGATTCCTCCAGTCTAAATCAATATTTAGATTCTGATCCGATTCTGATCAATGTTTCACTGGTGTGTTGTTATAACGCAACTCGTAGCGTGACTGTGTTCTTCACGGTTGGGCTACGAGTGGATTTTGTGCGTGGCCCCAATGAAATGTAAAGGTCTCCTGGCTCCTAATTCACAACGGATGTGTCCTCCGCCATCACCCCCACCCCCTGCAGCTTTCTGCTCATGCTGGATTACATCGGCATAAACCTCGCGACCCTCAACTCGTGCATCAACCCCATCGCCCTCTACTTTGTCAGCAAAAAGTTCAAGAACTGCTTCAAGGTGCGTTTGGTGGCGTCGGCCACGTTTCTGTCGTCACGGTTTAGATCACGGGCGGGCTTCTCAATCGCCAGTGCTCGAGAACCACGACAACAACAACAACAACAAAAATAACCACAACAACAACAACAAAAATAACCACACAGGTCTGACGATCGCGTTGCACGTTCGCGTGACGAATTCAAACTAATTTGGGTCTCGTATTATGAGTTGCGTATGTACGTATGTTTGTATGTATGCAAGTATGTATGTATGAGTGGGTGTGTGTTTAGCGGTCCTGGGCCTCCCCTAGGTTGACTCAGCCTAAAATGAGTACCTGGTCTGGTGTGTAAACATCGCTACTAGGGAGACAAAGGCGGCCGGGCGTGGTGTTGGCCACCCACCCCCTCGTGTGCCGTGCCGGCCTCCATAGGTGCTCGCTAACAGCACTTGCCCCAACAGTCTGTTAAGGCTATACGGGAAGATCTTTGTCTTTGTCATAGCAGAGTGTCATGAGTTAGTTTGTAAGTGAACGGCGATTAACTGGTGAAGTCGGCAAGGCATAGCACGGTGGTTCGTGAGAAGCGGAATTTGGGAAATCCTGCCGTGTATGTTTTCATCGGCCGGTACGGATAATTTAAAGCGCTCTTGCCGTGCTGCTGATAGGTCGAAGGTCAAGCATTTCCCGAGAGCTCTCCGCTGCCGTGGGTAATGGCCAAACCAAACATGCCCTATTGTTGTAATGGTTTTCACATTTGTAAGCATTAAGCATCCCGCACCTCCGATTGGCAGGGCTGGCTACGTACGGTGCGAAAGAAGTTTGATGTGCGTACATCCACTTCAGTGATTCACGCGAACGCGCACGTGACGCCTGATTGTGACTAAGTGGACCCCCACCCCCATGTCCAGGTTCGTCAAAAAGAGTTGCGCAGAGTAAAGGGCGAGTTTTACGTGAATTCGCCCGAATGCGCGCGCACCGGCCAAGCCAGTAATTGCACGGGAAATGACGGTGGAAGGTTTTGTTGATGTCGTGGATGTTTACGTCTCGTCAACAATGACGTCCGCGAGGGCGACCACACATGTGACAACCATCACCGCTCCCCCCCCCCCTCCGCTCCCCCACCTTGCAATTTAATGAATCGTCGCTGTGTGCAGTCATGATTCTACGCGAGGATCTATTTTTTTTGTTTCGTCTCCTTTTTACCGTTGAATTTGAATTGTTCATTTTTTGCCCGTCTTGCCCCGTGCAAGTTTAGCCCGCTCCCGTTATCCTCAAAGCTACATTCGCTCAGATATCGGCACTCTCCACGAATAATTATCTATTGCCCCGCGCACAAATTGACGCAGACGCCACGATCATTAAATTCGATGCTAACCGTTACGACGACGCACTCCATCGCCCTTGGGACGCGCGACCGTTCGTACGTACGTTGAACTTCTTTCGCACCGTACATAACCAACAGTGCTAACCGGAGGTGCGGGGCAAGGACAACAAACTAAACACAAAAAGCAGTTCTAAAGAAATTCGTTTTCAATGTTGATGATTTAAAAGTGCGTAGCTCCAGTAGCTTCCTAATATAGGAAGGAAGAGCGTTTCAGACGGCCGCAGAGGCGCGTCTGAAAGCGTGCGATGCGGTGACCACCGCCTTTGTTCGATGGCGAGCAGTCAGAAGCTGCTGCTGCTGCTGCTGTGAGGATGATGAGCGGAGTTCGCGTGATGGCTTTACGCTCACTTGACGAGATCGGCAAAGGTGTCGCGATTCATATGTGGCAAGCGCTTTGTGTGCAACGAGAGCGAATTCGATGTCGCTCGTCGCGGTGCCGACCCTCCTCACTCCAACTCTCTCTCCTTCTCGTGCACAGTCCTGCCTGTGCTGCTGGTGCCAGCACAAGACGCTGCTCAACGTCACCCCGCTGGACGAGAAGCAGACGGCGCTCAAGTGGAAGGCCATGGCGGCGCCGGGCAGCCCGCTCGACCGCAGCAACTCGCGCTCCAGCAACAAGTCCATCCTCACCTGAGCTCAGCCGGCCGGGGGGGGGGGGGGGGTGTGGGGGGAGGGGTGGTGGGTGAAGAGTTGGGTGGGGGGGGGCAACGGGGGCCGAAGTAAAAAAAAGACAGCGGTGGCGACGTCGGTCAAGCGACCAGGCGACCAGCTTGGCTGGCCGCGTCGGAGGACGGTGAACGCAAGCAAACGAAACAATCGACTTGGCGAGGCAATCACGAGGCGTGGCGAAGGACGGCGCGTGGCGCAGGGCGACCGGAGGGACAACGGCCGGCGCCGACCGCCGGAGGCGACGCTGTCGCGGTGCCTCGCCCAAGATGGAACGTGCCAGACGCTCGTCGGACTGAGCCGGAGCTGTCCGAGGTTGACTCGAGCGTAGCAACAACAACGACAACGACGACGATGATGATGATGATAGGGCCATTTGCATTTCAACAGGTTTACAGAAGGAAACGAATACAGACTACACAAGGACCAGTGGCATGGCGTGGTCGGCATGAGCCCTGGTGCGAGGGATTTAGTGGGCCCCGTTTGTCTAAATCCTCACCACCATCACCACCATCTCTGTAGCGCAGCGCCTGGACCTCTATGGCCCATGGACTCCGGTGCAGTTGCAGCGCCTGGACACTTGATAGCTACGCCACTGGCCACAACTCGTACATTGATTGAAGCTGTAATATTCAGGGGGTAATGCCACCACTAACACTGCATGCTGTGAGATTCGACTTTTAGACTCGGTTCCAACCCAACGTTGGATATTAGTTTGCAGCAGAACTAGCATGACTGTTGCACCGAGGGGGAACGACGTTGGCAATGTTTGTGCGTAAGCGCCGAGGCCAAGCAAGCAGAGATCCAGACAATCCAGTAACGGGACGCCGATCAGGGTCCCACCGTAGAATACCGTGAAGACATCTTCACGGTACTCACGACATCTGCAGTTGCTGTGCGTACACACGCATGTACCGCTCTGATCTCAATCCGCTTCTGGGCGAGGGCCTTCCCATTTGACTATAATTCACCACGCTGGACAGTGTGGGTTGGTGAAGGCGTGCCCTCTGCTGCCCACGATCTCGCAACAACCTACAACACCTGGTTTGTGCCTGGTCGTTGCCCATCCAAGCATTATCCAGGCTTAGCTTTCGACGCAAATTTTACGGGAAAAAATTTGAACACGTTCGTCAAAAACACTGCCTTGAACATAATAAGTACAGAATAGGGCGACGTTTCGGGCAACGGCCCCCATTCACAGCGCATGGAGAGGCCAGAGAGGGCGAGAGTGACATTTCACGAGCTCTGACGCATTCTGAGTGATTCGGATTCAAGGGAAAGTTGCTGTGATTAACCTTCCGATGGTCTTCACTCACACCGGCTTAACAACACCCATGACGGTGGTAAAGTGCGGTGTGTGTGTGGTGTGTTGAGCACAATACAAAACACGTGATGGGTTCAGTCAATGAGTCCTCCATTTAACCAGAACACCGCCATCAATGATAAGGCAAAGGGCTCAACTGCCAGCAGGAGCGACTGTCATATGGCAAAAAATAAACCCACACAGCCACCATCGCAGATAGGGCCGGAACACAGCCATCCATTCCTCCTCCTGCTGCTGTCACCATCCTTGAGGCCTGGTCACCAGAGAAGGACATTGGGATAGCGCAACAAACGTGAGGTCAGATCCCATAGAGCCATCGCCACCAGATCGTCAAATGTGATCAGAAATCAGAATGTTTATTTATCTCGGAGGAATTCGACGAGCGACGAAGCTCCTTCTCACAGACTACCAGCAAGTTACAATAACAAACGATACACAAAAAATATAGCAAAAAATTAGCAAATCTTTAAATGAATGCCCTCTCCCGCGGAAGACAAGCCCAGGCTTGTTAACCTTCGCGCCTCGAAGGTATATATTTTTTAAAAGTAATGATTATCTACAGCACACACTACAAGTTGTGGATTTTTAAATACGACATAGTATTCAAGAGCTAACTACCTTTTTTATATATATGAATATTTTAATGTAATATATTGCAATAGTCTTTAGAATTCACTGTACTATAACCATGTGTGATATCGTACTGTCCTGTAATTGTATCGGCCTCCAGTTCCATTTGTTACGAGTATTTTTTTTTAAAGGAGGCTCGTTTGTGTAATAAAAACCCAAAAATGTACACATTAAACCGTTATATGCCAACATGGAGCTCGCAATGGCGTTGTGTTTTTTATTTTTCGTTGAGAGTATTTGGCTGCCAAAAAAACGAAACGTTCCACGTGACAAGCCACTTCGCTGAGCTGTTAAGAGCTACATAGCCCAGTGGGCCTCACCTGGTAAAATAAAAAATATGTATATTTTTTTGTTTGGATAGTTGATTGTGATTAAAATGGGTAGGCCGCAGCTATGTCATATCAAACGTCCCGCACACGATCGTTGAACGCTCATTGCCAGAAGAACGCCCCCCCCCCCCCCCCCCCCGCTAACTATGTCCCGTACGCTTCTGGAGAGACAACGAGCAGAATGGGACATCACATCGAAAATAAAAAATTGTTCCGCGCGCGATTCTATGCACGTATCGCGAGCTTCCAAAATCGACGCATCGTTGCGCGCCTCCCCGCAAGTACGCATTGTACGCGTGCTTGCTGAACCTCTTTTGCACCGTACGAAAGAAGTTCAACATTTTGGGGGCGCGGAGGGGGGGAGGAAGCATTGCCGTGCTTTATTCCCCATTCCAAAATCAACACCGCTTGATCCGAACTTAGTACGGCGACCCGAGTCACGGGTCACCGACCCATAGCCGTTGTCTCAGACCTCCATTCGCCAAGGGTCAGTGCGATGCCAACACTCGCTTGACGGTCACCGATCAGCAGCGAACGATCGCGGCGACCTGCCGGGGATGGGTTTTTCTTTCTTCTTCCCTCCAGGAGTTGAGTTGAGCGGCTCAAAACGTCGCTTCCCAACTCGGTTTCTCGAGAAGCCTCCCGGCATGCCGAGCCGAACGTCGCAAGGGTCCCTGTTGAGCAAGACGCGCGTGGTTAGCAACTCCCCAAACCATGAAGCACAAAAAAGTCAGTTGTAGAAGCTCACGTAGCAGAGCAAACCACTTCGCAGCACTTACAAAGGACTCGAAATAAGTTCGATAACACTGGTCAAAAAAAAAAGTTTTTTTCTGGCCTGGACTTTTGCAGCTGTTTTAGACTCATTTCAGGGTGCTGATTCCAAATCTGCTCAGATTTGCTCTATCACATCTCATTTTTATGCTATCGGCATACCCAATTTTCATTGATCTTACCCGAAATTAACTCTGTCACTTATGATTGCAAGTTGTTGCGAGTCAGTGACTGCTTTAGTGTTAAAATATGGCGCTGTATTTTTAGGATAGTGTGTTTACAATATCATTTTATGTAGATATCCACATTGATTTAATATTTTTCTTCCGCAGTTTTTTTTGAAAATGCAATATTTGATATCTCAAAAACCTGACGTGATAGACAAAAACCGATGCCAGATTTGGAATCAGCATCCCAAAATTACCTTTTGGTAAAAGTGTGTTGACCAGTGTAAGAGTGGTCGACGTGGGAAGCTTGCTTTCGAGCGGTCCCCGCGGAATGGAAAGCTTGGGAAAACACGTTCGACAGTCACTGCTGTTGTTCTTCCATGCCTCGCCGTGCTCCCCCTCTATCCGTCGTTACAAATATATTTTTATTTATATGCAATGCAATGAACCGAGGGAGTTTGCAGCTGTAAATGCTCGGCAGAGCCGGTGCTCCCAACGGGTCGAGAATCAACTCGGAGCTGTCTTCGTGCTCGCAAATCAACGCGGCCGCAACGCGCTTTTTGGCTGCCCGTCAACCCCCCCGCTGTTTATTTAGCCACGAAATATCACCAACGTCAAGCAGAAATCTCTCACTGGCAGCCGAATCACCTGATTACTCACCCCCTCACCCCCCTCACCATCATCATCCCTCCCCCGCGCCGCTCCCCCACTACCACCCTGGGGATGAGAAAGAAGGGAGAGATGGGAGAGCAGTGGGCGATGGAGGAGGCCGTGTGCTCGGTGGCAGATGACGGGGAGCTCTGCATGCTGATATGAGCTACCCGTCGGAGGCCGTCGGACTGCGAGAAGGGCTGCGTGCAGAACGAGAGAGTGAGCAAGAGAGAGTGAGCGAGAGAGTGAGCGAGAGGTGGGGGTTTTACATTAAGCTAAGTTTTAAAATAATGAACGAAGCAAAGTGCCGAATACACCGAGCATCTTCTTGCTTCCACTGATCGTAAAAAGAAAAGAGATGGGAGAGAAGGGAGAGAAGGGAGAGATGGAAGAAGTGTGTGGGGTGTGTGGAAGGGGAGGCTTGGGGCGAACTGGGTCACGGAGGACACCTAATATGGCGACAAGTGAAAACGTTTGACGCTGAGAATACTCCCCTAAGTCGGCCTCACACGCTGCTGCGGTTCAACGCTGTTGGTGAGCACTTTTTTAATATCCGGATGGCACACGAAGCTATGGTGGGACCAGCATCATTGTCTCTCCAGTCGTGCTCGTGCTGACGTGCACGGGCCACAAGCAAACCACTGCTCGTGTTTTCACCAAGGGAACCTATTCCCAGAGCTAGTTGTTATTTATTAATGTTTGACTTTTTTTAAATCAATGTTATTGAAACTCTGCCATCAGCGTCATGTAATGGAACAACATGTTATTTCAAAACTATTACCCAGCAATGCATCACCCCGCGTATCAGCGAATGGCCTGCAGAAGGAGATATCACGAACTACTTCCGATATCCCTTTAATTGACTTACTTTTAATTCACAAACTAGAGGCACACATTCACACATACCGAGATGAATGTTTCTCGCGTGGCAGTAAAAGTGATTTTTTTTTGTTCATTCCCAGACGTGGAATTGAACCAAAGAAAGTAAAAACAAAACGTACTCTTACGGCACTCTTATTTGTTTGTGAAGCCATTGGTAACCGGGCTTAGACAAACTCGCTGCACTTGAGAACCCAGTGTGGTCACCAGGTGGCTTTGCAAAGCTGAACCCAGGA